TGACTCCCCTGTAGCCCCAACCATTCCATGAAGTCGTTGTCTTTTCAGATTACAAATAATCCTTGCAGCTGTGCGGTGGTGAGACATCTCAATCCCAGTGTAAACAATGCTACCCCAGTGCCTTTTTACTCATTTTTACAAAGGACTAAAGTTTGTATGAGAGTGTTTGCATTAGCTTATACAGCCTCTCTTTGTTGCATCTGCCAAATTCTATATTCTTAGGTGACAGCACATGATTTTTGATTGGAATATTAACAAATGGGAAAGACCAGTAGCTTGTGCGAAGCTATAATCTGGAGGCTGTGATAAAGAAAGAAACTTTGAAGTACCAATCCCTTCTTAAACTCCCACAGTCCTTTGGATTTCAAAGTCCCACAGTTTGCATATGACAGTATCGGCGGCACCATGAGCAGTGAAAACAGCTACTGGTTTGTCTTAGGCCAAAGCAACAAACAGTGAAATAATAATAAAGCTGAGAATGTTGCTAAAGCTGTTAGAGGTTGAACATTGGATTTTTGGAATAAGAAATGTTGCAGTCCATGTTCCACATTTACTTCACTGCAGAGAAATGCCAAGTTTTGAATAATGAATTTCATGGCCTACTGTCATCCCTCAAGGACTTCAAAACTGCACAGCAAGTCCAACCGCTGCGGACACCCAGCACATTCCCGATAGTCTGGAGTCACAGCTAAATGTGTGTCACATAAATTTGTGTACCACTCTCCAGACTGCTAATCACAGCAGCAAAGCCCGGGTATGAATAAGCCCAACAATGTCCTAGACTTCTTAACTCCCCCCAGGCCTCCATTTTGGAGCAGCGGTTGTAGAGCTCAAGGACATGCTTGAGAGTGCCACTGCTGCTTTGCTGTTGTTTTTCTCCCCCTCTCAAAACAGCACGGCTATAATTACTGTCGGCCCAGCGTGGCCCACGCCTAAGCATGGCTTCTCTGTGAGTGTATATGTGTGTTGTGACAAAAGCTGTGGGTTGGAAGTGCAGACTTCACTGGTGAGCTCTGGCTCACCAACCAATCATTTTACACATAGTTAGCGTTTAGGGTAGAGATAGAGAGGTATGCACCTTTTATCGTCTTGAATGCTAATGTCAGCAAAGACTGTTCCTGGTGAGCATGCAGCCGCACAGGATGAGTTTAAATAGATTTTAGTTTTTGCAAGTTTAGGTTTATTTTTTTGGAAACAAGTCACTTCTCTGAGAGTAACTCCAGTGCCAGGATATTAGAGTGGGAGGCAAGTCTTGTGGTCAGAGATCTGGCAGTGAGCTGGCAGCGCCTCGGACAGAAATGGAACAGAAGCAAACAAAAGCAGTTTAATCCACAACATGTCCCGTGTATCAAAATAACTTAAACTCATCAACAGTCGGTGCAACTGATGTTGTGTTTCAGATGTTTCAGTGTCTACATCTTGAGGCAGAGGCTTGTTTCATGGTCCATAGAGAAAATTCTAAAATACTTAAATGTTAAAGATGGATAAGAGAGAGAACTAAAACTGAGCTTGTGGTTTAAACAAAAACACAGTGTGGCCATTCCCCAAACTATTTAGCTGACTATTGTAGAATTTAAATAACTCGTGGTTGAATTGATCAGTTTAATCACCAACTACTTTGACTGTCTAAGGTAATTTTAATAGAGTTAAATGCAAGGGAAACAATGAGGGCAATTAAAGTAGAGTGCCAGAATAATAGTGCCAAAACCCAACAGTCCCCATATGAAACCACATTTAAATTTTTTTATGGTTCTGCACAAAATTGCAAACACTCCTAGTTATCGTTCCACTTAATATGTGTGATTTTTCTCATCAAGGTCCATGAATTATTTCCTGGGAAATTGGTGAACATGTCACAGGGTGCACAAACTCACAATATTAAAAGAAGTCAAAAAAATGGGCTCGTCTTTGGCCCATGTTCCATCCTTCTACCAAGCTTCATCGAAGTCAGTTCAGTTTTTTTTGCTACCAATAAATAAACTAACAGTTCGGTTGAAACATTATTCGTAGAGATAATTAATAGATCATGAAATAGATTAGTTAAAAGCCTGGGATTATTCAGTTCACGTTTATTGAAACACTCTCTGCGACTGGAAACAGGAACCTGAGACAAACTGAAGGATTAAAATCGGTTACTCATTATATGGCAGGATTGCCTGCTGCATTAGAGATGTGTATTCAGAACACATGTTGGCAGGATTCACTGCCACCCTGGTGTGAGAAGGTCAGCACCCCGCCAAAGGCACAACAGTGTCTGGAAGGAGTCTTTACCGCACATCTTCCTGATTGTATCACCCTGGTCACTGAAATTATAGCAGGGAACAGGTCATGAAATTGGACCCTGTTCTCCACCAGAGGGTTGTTAAGAACTGTATGGCCTTTTTTCCAGTTCAACAAGTGAACCTAAAAAAATTTCAGTTAAGCTTTACCTGGCTTGCTTTTAAAAAGAAATGGAAACTACCTTTTTATGACCGGAGGTGATGTGTTACTTGTTAAGTAGAGAAATCATTAAAAAGACATGCGCTCTTGTTAACTCGATCTGGGTTTACTTTTATTGAAGAACTGTATTTCTACTTTTGCTTATATATTTTTTTTTATATATTGTTTAGTATAGTATTTTTCTACTTGTATATTTCCTTTGCAAATCTTTACAAATGTCAAAATTTGATTTGAGGATGACTTTTGACAAATTGCCGTTGTGCTTGCAAAATGACGATTAAGCTCTTGAATCTAGAAACAGGAGAAAGATGAAACCTGAACTGAGATGTGTTGAACATGCTCGTGCATACTCAGAAATATCAGTGTGTAAATTATGTGTGCAAAAGACGACTTTCCATACAAGACAGAGCTTAGACCACATTTCTATTGTCCAGAGTGGGATTGGGATTAAGGCCAGCTGTTTTGTGATTTCATCAGTTTTGCTAACGTTTTATTCTCTGCCATGCGATTCCTCTGCTGCACAGAGACGGCACTGTTTACATTGCAAGCTGTGTATATGTTACGATACCCAGCCAAGCTTTGATTAGGCAACTGATTTGCAGAGGAATCATAAATCCGAGATCTGCTATGTTTTAATGTTGTCATCTGTATTCTGCTCTATAATACATGTGCAGTGAGTAGAGTTACCTAACGCACAGGGGAGCTGGAAAACATTATCGTCCATCAGCTTCTGCCGTGCTTAAGCACATGAATAATTAGTTAGCGTGGTCTATTATGATGTGACACAGCAGAACTATTAGCTTTGATGGGGATAATCTACAGCCCCCTCGCTCATGTAACCCATGTTGATCCCCTGCTAACCTTTTAGCAGATGTCATGTAACATGCAAAGAGGAATTTCTGCAGGAAGTAAAATTTGTTGTTGGAGGCTCTTAGTGTTGAAACTAAGTGATGAGGCGTATGCAATAGTACTGGAAAATTGGTTGGAGGCAGGTTTTCTCTTTGTGTTAACGCTACACCGAAATAAAACAACACCCACTGAGGGACAAATCTGAATTAACATTTCATTTGTTGCCCATGTTTGTTGCACGTCAGGCAAGCAGAGCAAATACTGGGGTTACGCCCACAGGAAATGTTTCGCGCTCTTTATTTTTTGATTTCAAATATTAGCAGACCTTTATCTTTGCAGTTCACTGTGAAGATTAAATAAAGCCTCAGTAGGATACGATAAAAAAACAGCGGAGCAAAAGTGCTGCACTTATACGCCACAATTGCAGTGCTGAGGGACGCCTATTTCAGTACATCTAAGTTGTGGCCTGCTATTCTTGTTGCAAGCATATGTGCCATTGATTGGTTTGGGTTTCGGAAATCCTTTGCTTTATGCTAATCAGGCACAGTGTGGCAGGCCGTCGGCTCTGGTGCGGTTAAAGCTGGCATGTCTACACTCGGTGTCTCTGCAAAGTTGCAATTACACTGGGAGTGAGAACAGAACGCTGCGTATAATGTAGCTCTGTCGCAATATCCTTCCATCCTCTTCTTCTCTTCCCTTGTTTGTGACTTTGATTCAAATTAGCCAGGAACTTCAGCTTGTTTTATTTTTAGTGGGTTTTTTTGCAGCCTGGCTTATCAAAGTAAACTATGTGTGACTGATTTAACCCAACATCAATCCTTTTTTATTTAAATGAATGATAGAGCTCAAAAAAGACCTTTTAAACACTTCAGCTAGCGGCGGGATCTTTTCTTTGGTTTTCTTTCCTCTGTTGTAAAAAGAGCTCTGCGGACTGCGGGGCGGTTTCTGACCGGCTGTCTGTTTAGTCAGCTTGTGGAAGAACTAAAAGCGTCAGGGTGTCAGGGCCGTGCTGCTGTTTGGGCACTATTTGCAGACCTTTGTGATATTTCACATATGTAAGGCAGTGTGGTGGTCTGTCTGGCAACAAGATTGACTGAAAACAGGGAAGGCCCCAGGGGGACGGCACCTCCCCCCCAGCTGCAGAGTCTTAACTCATGGGTGACTGATGAGATAACCAGCAGCGCTCAGTTTATGTCACCCAACAGTGAGTGGGGGGATTTCTGGAAAGGGTTTTATTAATGACATGTTGTTTCTACTCTTTTAAACTGTCGGGTGTTTGCTGAAAATGTGTCTTTGGTTTTGGTTTTGTTCTTGAAAAGAAGAGAACATCTTTTTTTCTGCCTCCACTGGCTCTATGCTTTATTTTAACTACGATGGCCCAAGTGGTTTTATTTCCAACTGTATTTGTATGTTTATAACTTAGCAAGACTGTGCACAAACTACTGGAATAATCACCAGGACGCTCGGTGGAAGGATGCGGCATGGGTCAGGGACAAACCGCATATGTTTCGACATTTTATTACTTAAATATATCTATGAGTGTGTGTAATTTGGTGTGGCTTGATTGAACTGACACACCTTTTATGGTTTTGATTGTGATTTTATGATTGGTCCTATAAAACAAATTGAAATGATTCACTAAGTTGTTGCTTCATATCATTACATTTTATGACTGTGTTGTTAATTTTATTATTATCATTTGTCTCCAACAGGTCTGGTTTCGACAACTTCAAGGAAACTGGACAGAGAACAACAAGATGAGCACATTCTTGAGGTAAGCTCCATGTTTTAGCTGATTTTCACATCTACAGGAGAAAAGAAAATGGAGGAGTTCTTTATTTGTGTGAAAATTAATTAGTAACTTGACGATCAGAAACCTAAAAGATCCACTTTTCTGTGTCGTTTGGCTTTGGCTGAGTGCCACATGTTGCCAATAAAGACAAGTCTTCTAATTTCTCCTTGTACTGATTTCCGGCCGGGGTAGGAGGGAGAGGTGGGAGGCGCGCGGCAGAGCCCGGTGACTGTTCCTTTGTTCTGTCCCACTGTTCCGTCTCTTGGATGGAGCAAGCTGGGACAGGAAACCAACAGGTCAATGTCTAAACTTGTGGGTTTTAATTGAGCTCAGCTCGGTTGTCTCCTGAAGCTTTCCTCCCTCTCGCCACAGAACTCTAGACTCATAATAAGGTGTTTTAATTGTGTTTCCGGTGCTGACAGGGAGCAGATTGGACGCCTTTTAATTACTGTTAGAAGTTACACAATTCAGTGATCACTGGGTGACGTTAAACACTGGTGCATATGGTGCTGGAGTGGTGTTGTATTTCATACTAGGACTGATCTAATTTAATTACAAGACTGAGTAAATGATAGGGATGAATAAGACTGGATTCTTGGAGGGAAATATTTATCTGATGAATTCAATTGAGAAACAAATCTCTAAGGAGAGAATCTACAATTGAATCTTTGTTTCTTTGCCTGTTGACTTTGTGAAGACTATTGGATAACAGGGTCAGAAAAAGGTTCCCATGCAAACCCCAGAGCTCCCCCATCTAGTGGTTTGCTGCAGACGTAGAATTGCTACTTCCAACATGTGGCTGAAAGCTGTTGAATTACTAGGTTGGAATTAGTGTCTGATGCAAAGTCGTCGTGTCCTGAGAAAGAAAAGAAACCCTCCCGCCTCGGCTCGGTTCATGAATGTTGTTCATTTGTCTCATTTGACAAAAAAGCCTCCAGACAGACATTAAAATAACCACATTAGACGCCCGGCTCAAACTCTTATACTTTAATGTCACACCACATTCAACACCCCTATTCTCTTCATGCTAATACACTTTCTTTTCTTTGTAGTGTTTCCTACTAAAGCTTATAATTACTAATCAGATACTGTAATTCACAAAGAAATGCAATTTTCCAGGAAAAATAACAAATTAAAAGTTTCTCTTGCACATTTGTGTTCCATTTAAAATATGAGTTGGAGGATAATTTAAACTAAATAACATTTGAGTTGAAGAGAGAGAAAGTAGCTGGGTGAACTCGGCCTGAAGAGACACATGTCGCTATGGCAACTTGGGAAGTTTTTGTGCTTCGGTCACTTGTTAAATGGAATCCAGCAGGAAGTGTTTTATTGGGCTATACGTTCATAAAGCAGTTGAGACCCCTAACCTTACAGTTCAGAGCTCCCCACACCTCAGTGTATCGTCACAGCAGCAAATTACAGGTTAATCATGACTCAGAAGAAAACGTGCATGTGCACATGCCTTTTGTGAGTCGACTGGGTGCTGGCTGAGCAAATCAAATCGTGGTCCTAGCTGGCGTTGGAAGTTTTTGTACTGGCTTGTTGTAGAAGAAGAAACGAAACATGTGGGGCCATGTGGAGCAATTAGGGTGGGGGCTGTGTCAGCATTGTTTGCACCAAATGCCAAGAGGAGATGGAGGGAGCACGGGGGGGGGTTCAGCTTTTATGACGAGACGGGTGTGGGGGTTGGTCGTCCGTCGTGTGCCTGTGTGTGAAAAGGAGAGAGACCTAAAGGCAGAAAGGCAGCGGGGGAATTCGAGAAAAGGCAAAGCTGCTCCTGGTGGTCTGTGTGAGCTCTAGCGGCAGGATGAGAGGCCTTAGTCCCAGGAAGGAGGGGGGGGTAAATAGCAAAAGTGGGACATGCCAGGACATGTATTAAAGCCTGGGACTGTGGAGAACACTTTACAATGGAGAAGCAGAGGTGAATGGTGCTGTTCACATCTGTTGTCTGGAGCCTGTTAAATACAGTTGGCAAGAATCAAGAATACACCCCAGACAGGTCTCTGGCCCGGGCCTGTATCTGACGAGGTTATTAGATCCCACCCCGTCCACTTTTCCTGATTAATCAGTAAATGGAAAAAAAACAAGTTCAAATCTGCATCATACGTTTTCAGAGCCTGGTGACGATTGATTCATTGGTACACTTGACAGCTGCAATACAAAAACTGTAGTGGAATCACTGTTTCAATAAAGATTTAAAAAGTTGCACCACAGTTAATTATTATAAAAATGTAATTTCTACTAACTTACAAAATCGTATACATTATCCTGACTCCCAGTTCATTTTAATTAAAACTGAATGCAATAAAACCGTGTTACTTGCGTATGGTTGTTCAGATAAAGCTAGAGCTACGCGACAGTGAAGCATAACATTGAGGAGCTGTTTCTGTCTCAGCTTGCAGCTCCACAGCAGCTCTGTCCTCATGCAAAGAGACAAAGTCCCTCCGGTGTAACTTGTCTGCCTTTTGTGCAGATTCCCTAATTATCAAACAATGGCTGCTGATGAAAGTTTTCCAAAGAGAGGAATACAGTGATGGATAGCCGGGTAGATATAGTCCACACACTCGCTTGCGCACACAGCAGTTGTGATTGTGAACTGCTATTCCAAGGGGTTTTTATGTTATTGTTTTTCCTTTTCAGTGTATTTTATTGAATGCATAATATCAGGCTCTAGACCTACATACTGTGTATTTGACTAAAAAACTGTGAAAATGTTCATTACAAAGCAGAAAATCCTCATTACAAAGCTCAGGATGGGCACCAACAAATCCTCCCTGAGAGACACATTCACATTCAGGCTCCTTGTCATCCCGTTTAATTAATTCTGCTCATGTGAATAGCACGGACAGCTGCAGACACTGTGAGAAAAACAAAAACACATTATTTTAGTAATTGAAACTATGGCACCAAATGGAGTGTGCCTGGCCCCGGACTCCTGACTGTTCTTGGTGAAGCACTTAGCAGATGGTTTTAAATGACTGTGGCGCTGCACAGGCACACAACCTTTCTAGGACTGTACAAGCATTGTGTTGTGTAGGTCAGCGTGTGGCTCTTCGCTTTTGATTAAACTCCTTAAACTGTGCACTGCAATGTCCGAAGACACAGCGGAGAGTTGAGTCAAGGCGCGAATCTCAAAGCGTCAGTACGCCACCAGTTACTTTTGATGTCAGGACTTAAATTAAAGCTCCATGAATGATGCAGTTGTGCGACACTGTCTTTTTATGCAGAGTCCTTCTGGGGTTTAAAAAAGCCCCTGGTCTGTAGTGGAGGGCAGAAAGTCTTGATGTTTATTAGCAGGGCAAAGTCATTTCATTTACTGGTTTGACAGACTGCGGCAGAGTCAGTGCAGCTGGTGAGAACAGGATGAAGACGTGCAGCTAATTAAAAATAATTATCTCTGATGGGTGGTTCACGTATCAGCCATATATAACGTACTGCTATCGTGATCACAGGAAAACATATTTCAGATGGGGAATGTTTTCAAGTGAAACAAATCTTGTTCATCTGAAGACACCGACTATACAGCCTGTAACTCCTCAGGGGCAACAGAGGGTCTTTAATTACTGCAGCTACAGAAAAATATTTAACATCTATTAAATAAGTATGGTTGGATACGGAATCAGACATGGCCAGTACGTCCCGAACAAAATCTCAATGTGGATTCAGATGCCTTATTACAGTGAACTGAAATGGTTGACACTGCTTACATGGAACATAAACATCACTCTATGTGCCTTGTTAACATTTCACCTATATCTAGTAGCGACCTTAAACTTTTTTTCATGTGAAAGCACTGAAACTGTAATTTAGCTTTTAAATTATTTAAAATGGCTTAGGTTTTTGTTTTATGTGATTTTGTTTCGCAGTTTTGCACTTATTTATTTTTGTATATTTAAGTTAAATATAGTTTGTTCTGTTCGCACCTGAACAAATAAAAAAGCTGTTCTCGTCTTTTTTTTAAGATAAGGTGTCGCCTCTGGCTTCACCCAAATAAAAAGTTGATTGTTGAATAATAGTGAATGAAGTCGACACTGAAATAAATACTTCCTGATTTTGTGCCTAAAGTTGCAGCCAAATCACCAGATTGTTGTTCTCCAGAAACGGCGCATTTATGCATAAAATTGCTTTGTGAAAAGATTATTATCATGTGGCCTAATAAAACAGTGACCCGGGAGATTGAAAGCTCCAGCGGTGTTGTGCCGCTCGCTCACATCCAACCAGACAAAAGGGGTTTGAACTGAAAACCCACAACCATGGGACTAAAATCTCTGTCGTTAAAGTCCTGCATGTTCCCTCTTTGTCTTTAGCAGGGCTGAAAATTCTGTTCTTAAAATCCGATTAATCTTTTTTTTTGCTGGGGAATTTGCCTGATAAGACTCAGCAATTTGTATTTGTAGTTCTGAAAAAATGTCCCTGACTTCAATGCATTTTTTGCCAGTGAAGTATCCTGTTAGAGCGCTTTATGATTAAATGTTTGACTAAATGAGAACATCACCCTTCAGACATCAGATTATGAGGCTAAAGATATAAAGACAACAACTAGTCTCCGGCAGTAGTGGCGCATATCCGCCTGTTAGTGGTGTATATTTGTTTTGTTAAGCAGAGTGTGTATTTGAGAAGACCCCCTGACAGCAACTCTCAAAGGGAAGTGCCTTTAATTTTGGCTGTCGGTTAACTTGCTGAGAAAGAAGTGGAATGAAACGATGATGAAGAGGAAAAAACACGCTCCCTCTTTTTCATCTTCTCTTTGATTAATTTTAGGCTTTGGAATGATGAATTTCTAATGGGGTGTCTTGATCTTTACAAATTCCCTTGATAGTTTTATATAATGTTTAATGTTAAGTCATATCTCTGGCTTTATTCACAGCCTCCTACTCCACAACTCGAACGTCTGTAATTTTTCAGGGGATTCAGGTTTTTACTGTATTTGTATCTGTATTCTGAATATTCTATTTTATTGTGATGTTTTCAAGCGTTTGACTTTATGTCTATCTCCGGTTTTAAACCTTTAATCTTTCCTCCCAGGTCACCATCACCGACCACGGCGTTCCCGCTAAATCCACCACTGTCCGCGTCATCGTCCGAGTCCTTGACGAGAACGACAACAGGCCGCTGTTCCTGGAGAAGATCTACAAGATCCAACTTCCTGAGCGGGAGAGGCCAGAGAGGGAGAGAGCCATGAAGAGAGACCCGGTGTATCGGGTCATCGCGTCGGACCGCGATGAGGGGCCGAACTCTGAAATCTCTTACAGCATCGAGGAAGGAGACGAACACGGGAAGTTCTTTATTGAGCCCAAGACCGGCCTGGTGTCCTCCAAGAAGTTCTCCTCTGCCGGAGAATACGACATTCTTACAGTGAGTATCTAAGCCCATCCTCAATCCTGTCGTTGGCCTATTAGTCCCTCACTGAGCAGTAAAACTTAACAACAGATGCTTGTTTATTACACTCCCCATCCTCCCATGTTTTCTAGCTGCCTTTGTTTTTTTTGCTTTTATGCTTAAAATGCAGTTGTAAAAATCTGTGTATGAGAGACAAAAAGCTAATTAGTGTAGAAAGTTGTTTGCCAAAGCATCAACTTAACATTTTAGGACACAAGCCAACAACATTACAATATAACGAAGACATATGTTAGCTTTATTTTGCTGTTATTCTTTTAATGTGTTGTCTTAGTTATCGAGAGACAAATTTTGTCACTTGCTCGAAGCCCTTAAATACTTAAATCCCGTCATCTTTCTAAAGCCTCTTTATCATCCTGGTATATTTGTATTCTTTTCATATGTAAGTCAGTTTTGCATCAATCGAGTGTTAAAAACATCATCAACACGCTCGTTCTTCCAGATGTTTTCCTGCTGTAGTCTCACACAGGCTCACGCTAACCTTCTGCGGACATATCACTAGAGGGCTGGTGGGAAAAGTTCCAGAAAATGTCTGGAGCTACTGCCTCGGACATTTGCCTCCTAACAAACAGCCTCTTCTGAAACTTTGTCTGAAAGCATCTTAACCACAGTATATATGTGTAGATAGAGATTGAATAAAAAGTGCAACTTCACTGGATTACACTGAGTTATATGTGTGAAAATCAATGTTCTGTCAAACCTACACAGGGATTTACTTCGAGTTCAGTTATTTCACTTGGCTGTGAAAACAGCAGTGAAACATTAAGTTGTGATACTTAGAGTGATTTTATCCAGATATACTGTAGGCTTCTGCAAGTTGTGTCTAGTGCTGCTCGAAGACACTGCTCTCTACAGTTTACTGAAATTGAAGTCCTGACAAAAGGTGGACTCACAAAAGAACTGCATAACAAAAGGTGTTTTGTTCTCCTGAATACAAGGTTTTCTTGCCATGTGGATGGCTCAGGGTACGGAAATGCTTTTACGATTGAAACACAGCCCGTTCTGTGGATTTGTGCCACTAATCAGTGGTTCTATTTATGCTTCCAGTGGGCTTTAACTTTAACATGGTCTATTGTTGCATTTATTCTGCAAGCATTAACCATCAACCTGCACAACTAAACTTTGCAATGTATTTACTTCTGAGATGATCTCGGCTCTGCTAGCGAGCTGTACAGAAACTCATTTGCAACCGGAAAAAAAAGTTGCATAACGCTGTGTAACACGGCCTTTCATTCTCTGCCTCTCTCAGATTAAAGCTGTCGACAATGGCCGCCCTCAGAAATCCTCCACTTGTCGCCTGCACATCGAGTGGATCCCAAAACCAGAAGTGCCAGCCGATGCAGCTCCCCTGCTTTTTGAGGAGTCCCCCTTCACTTTCTCTGTAATGGAAAGCGACCCTGTGGCGCACATGGTTGGCGTTGTCGCCACAGAATCCTCTGATGTTCCCGTGTGGTTTGAAATCACAGGTACTGCCTCCCTCACTAACATCACTGTGTGTATGCATGTGCACTGTAGAAATGCTCTGTCGTAGAAAATTGCTCTTTAGATAGAGAAACTCCGGGTTTACTTAAGAACTAACATAGCGTTTGTGTGTGAAATGGCCGGGTAGTATGTCAATAAAAAAACCAATTACAAAATAAACAGCAGTTTAGAAGACAAATATATTTCAATGCACATTAAGAGTAAAAAACTTTTGTCGATGAGTTCGTTTTCTGGTAGAAATCTCACTTTCTTTGTCATGTTTGCTGCCTGAAGAAGCCAAAGTGCAGTCAATTCATATTTATTATGTTGGAAATTTAAAATGGACTAGAAGTGTATGTTTGTGTGAAAACAGCCCATGAAGTTGCCACAGAAAAACTTGAAATACTGCCTTAACCTAACTTAAAACTAAAAATACGTATTGTTTTTCTCTAGCTGTAATCTGTAATTGAGAAGTACCCATTCTGATGAATCACCTCCTCTGTAATTGAGTTACTTATTTTACAAAAATAAACTAGACGTTGGCTAAATCCAATCATAATGCAAAGCTAACTACATTAGCAGAAGAGTAGTAATTAGCTTCTCTCTGTTGGACTAGATTTCCGTTTGGTTTTGACACCATAAAATTGCATGGTTAAATATATAGAATGTTTTTAGGCTTTATTGCAGCTGCAAGTTTCTTAATTAAAAATAAACCCAAATAAAATGAAGTCATTAAAACGTCTATTTACTGGCCAGTTTCACTGATGTCTGCGTGTGTAGTTTGCATTACGCAACTGCATCACGAATCAATAGGTCAAAAACAATCTGTTACCACAGCTATCAAGTGTTTAAACCTAATTCGTCCTCTCTTGAATGTATTGTTTTTAGTAAATGTAGGTTCTATGTGCATGAGAATACTTGAACTGACTCTTTTCAAAAAAAGCCTCTTCTCCCTTCGTCCCAGCCTGTCGTCCCTCTAATCAATGTCTGACTGACATGTCTCTTTTTTTCTTCTCTTCTCTCTCTCCGTGCTCTGCTTCCGCTTTCCTCTTTTCTCTGGAATGTTCTGTTTGGTTGGATTTTTGCAAGACGGCATAGAGGATACTGAGATGTTTTACATCCTTCAGATGGCTTGTGACTACAACTGTACAGCAGAAGGTAGCTGCTGGGATCTCCCAATAGGCTGTGCTGCGTTATGAGATCAACCTACATTGTCTGTTGGCTGTGGTTGAATTGTGTCGTGTCACCGCATTGATGTTGTACCACATTGTTGTGCCACATCGTTCCCCTTTAAACCCCGTTACCCGATACAGATTAACCTGATTCACGAGTGCCAGGAAAACCTCCGCTCCTTAACCTCATGTGAATCAGAGCTCCATTTCCTATCCACTCCTGAGTGGTTTATCCTTGAGATTTTAGAATAGCTTCATACAGTGTTTATTGTGCTGTCACACATTCACCACTTTGCATTCATGCACATATTTGTTCATGTAGTGTCAGGGTTGTATAAGTAGATATTGTAATGTATGGTCCTTAGCAGAGCACAGCAGAATACTGATGTTTGTGTGTCCATCTCAATATTTCATATTCAGTCGTCTTTGTACATTTGCACAACTAAGCAATGATTTGTCAATAATGTTTTTGTCCTTCCTTGTTGTTTATACAAAAAAAAATATTCCACAGGTGGTAATTATGACAGCCGCTTTGACGTGGGCAAGGCCAGCGGAACCTTGATTGTAGCACGAACCCTGGACGCAGAGCAGAAATCAAATTACAACCTGACGGTGGAAGCCACAGATGGGACACGAACTGTCAGCACCCAGGTAATTGAAACACTAATGAAATGGTTGGAAGCTGATGAGGCAGTTGTCATTGTTCTGTTTTTCCTCTGTTTGAGAAATATCAGGAGGAAATGGACGGGTAATGAGTGAGGCGGTGTCCAAACTGTCCTGTTTGTTGGTGTATGTTTGTGTCGCGAAGCTGTCATTGCTCTCAGCTTGTCTGGAAAAATGGACGCTGTGGACATGATATGGTTATACTTTATTATGTTGTCCAGTGCTGTCTGTTAAGTGGGATTCAGTTGTATTTTAACATAACTTTGTTTGTTTTATTTTTGTTTTTTGATCAAATCCCCACATTTTGGGAAATATACTTATTTGCTTGATTTGTGAGAGTCTGTTTAATAAGGCTCTGTCTCAATGTAGTTCCATCCACATAAGATCACAAGTGGACAAATTATATTTAGTTGTTAAATCATACAAAAACCAAAGTGTACAAAGGACAAATAGTGATTTTACTCGGGTAAACCTGTAGGCCACATCAAGTCTGCCAACACAGCAGATGTGCCGGTAGGCTGATTTCTAGCCAGGATAGTCTTCATGCTGAACTTATCCTGTCATATCCTGAATGCAGATTCATACAGACATTATAAGAAAGAAAATGAGCACATACCCTTGAAGAAAGGAAAAAAAAATTTCAATTATCAAACCATGTTAGCATTACTTAGCGTTCCACCCCATCTTTTCTCTACCATCTCAGTCCAGCATATTGAGCTCCAGGAATCTTCCATTGTCTCATTCCTGATGCAGAAGCCTGCTTTGATGATGATGCCGTCTGGCCATTTTTCTTTTTTCTAAAGTGTGCATTCTTGAGCCCCCTCCCCTCCTCCCCTCTGCTGTGTCTCTCGCTGAACCTGTGAACCTACTTTTCTCTGAGAGGAACAGATTGTCTCTGTCTTTTCTGAATGGACCCTGAATAACTAAATACATTACATTAATGCAAATGGCACAGTGCAGAAACTAAGATCAGCTGAATGGCATAACGACTAGAACCTTAATGCAGAAGAAAAAATAAAAGCTTTGGGTACTCTGAACCACATGATTCTTTGTGAGTCATTTTGAAAAGGTTTAAAAATCACATCTCAAAACCTAAACAACATAATGAAGAGAGATTATGGAACCAAACAACCTGAACACGGACATTGTTCAAGATGTTTTAAATTGATTTATGCAATGTAACCCAACATCTTCACACAGGTATTTTGACTGGAGGTATCCACTTCATTTCTAAATTAAATACAAACCTAGCAAAAAACAACTTCATTTAAATATATGAATATTCAAATTTAATCCTACTTGCATGTGCATCTTGCTCCCCAGCTGATACCAAAGCTGAACTGCCATTATAAAAGCTTTCACGCACACAGATTGTCTTCGGGCTTTGTGCAGACGTTCATGCCTTGTCCATGATATTTTGAACATTTTTACATGGTAGTTTGGGTCATATCAGATGACAGCGTTCAAAATGTTTTGTCCTTTGTCCTCATAGGGGAGCTTCAGAGAACTGTAGCTGGAAAGGAATCTATTTGTTGTCACTCCGTATGAATAAAGCCTTTCATCATCTGGCTGCTGTGCTCCACTGAGCCTTGCATGGAGTGGCGCCTTCGCTGGCATTTTGCAGCTCATCCGCAGCAGCAGCAGCAGCAAGTCCTTTATTTTAGTGCAGAATCTTAAAAACAGTCACAGCAAACCTACACGAGTTTCTACCGCTCTCTCTCCTCCGCAGACAATTTGAAAGCCTCTCAGCAATCCTGCATGCGGTGACATTTTATGTCAAATTAATCACATTCAAAGGTTAATTCTCTGTGGGGCTTGGTTCTCAGTGGGACCAGCTGTACTAGCAAGGCTTTCACATTACAGGCAATGATTTCATTCAGTGTTTTTTATTTATAAAAATAAAAAAAATACTGAATCACCTAATGCATTTCCAAATTACTTTAATTTAGGTTTGTTTACTTTGACTCTTTCTGCATGAGTGTATTATTTGTGTTCTGCTTCATGGACACATATTTAAAATGTTATCGCACTGATAACATTTTATTTTACTGAAATTTCAAAGACTGCGTCAGAAAACTAGGTGTTCATCCACCTGGGAATGCGTTTAAATTGGGCAACTTCAGAACCTTAAAGTAAATGTTGCTTCTCTGCAGTGAATTTTCAGACCCTAGCATATGTCCATCTGCAGGAATCTCAACGGAATGTGTGATGACAACTGTAACTGCTAGAACGCCTGTATCATCAGCTTTATGAACTCACTATCTACAGGCCATCACTGCTCCGTTGAACCTTGGGTTTCACACAAGAAGTGGGTCAAATAATCCTTTGCTTATCGCTGACAACACTTAAGTCTTTCTCGCCGCCTGCAGACCTTGAATGTGTATTTTTTTTGTAGTTATTATTAGTGCTGTGACTGATAGGCTCTCTTGCAGATGAGTGCTTGAGTGTGAGATATTATATACCCAGCTGACCACCGTAGGTCAGCTGTTTTCTGTCGAGGGAAGGGATTTACTGAATTTGTATGCTCCATAAACCACATTTAGTGATGTAGGCCAGCTGGCTGGGTTATGCTGAGAGACCAATAGGTGACTGAAAAGAAGCACACAGCAATAGCAGAGTTTATAGCAATTACCCCAAATTTGGTTGGCTCGTAATAAATATGTCCCCAAACAGTTATTGTTAACACAAATTATCTTCCATGAAAAGAGAATGAAATCCATTAACTTGTGTTGGCCTCAGTGGTTTTCATTTGTGGTGAACAGTCCCCAGCCTTCATATAACCTCGCCATTTGTTGGCTTGCACGTGTGTTTAGGAAAACCTTCACAGTCCCCGAGGACTCAGAATACAGTGTGCTTCGACTTGTTTCAGGAAAGCCGTCTGATTGTTTTGGCTACCAATTTGTTTATGCGATAACATTGTTCGGCATTGTCAGCATTTGCTCTGTTAGCGGGGGGTTTAACAAACTATAAACACGCCTCTGGCTATATAAGGAGAGCAAGTCATTTGTAATTTGAAATATTATCTGTAGATTATAATATGAAAGAGAAGATCATGTTGAGTAATCAAGTTTCCTCGTGTCTGTGCCTGTAACAAAAATGAAAAGAGAATTTAATTTGAAAACACAGCACGTTATTGATTGTTATTCATTATGGATTTGTTTTCTTCGTGGACAGTGTGTTGTTTACCTTTTACGGCAAATTAGATCTCCCTGATCACACGCACGCAGTGCACCTTGGGAAAGCTCAGCATTGGACTTGTCTATTCTTTTGAGGCAGCCTGGCCTATTTTCTCCCTCCTCAGAGTGTTGATTCTTTTTATTTATCTTTCTTTGTCTTTCTTTCTGATTTCTCCCTCTCTCTCTCAAAAGTCTCTGCATTTATTGGCCAGGCATCTAGGGATGATGATTATTATGTTTGGGTAGAATAAAGTGCAAACAAGAGCACTGGACCTCTGTGGCTACTGGGCTGTGTTAATCCTGTTTTGGGAACACGTTGGAGTGTCCGGTGCCAGTGCCCTGCCTTTGCCCAGAACCTGCCACCTGGCAGGGAGGCGTCCTCTCCTACGCACGACACAGGAGGACAATGAGCACAATGAGAGCTCCTGTGTGGCTTGTCCGCAATACCACACAAAGGCTTTTTCGTTATTCAGAAGTAACATTTTCAGATACCTATAAATTAATAATATCAGCTAACTGATATATCAATCAGCCTCTATCCAGCAGCTCTTTCTTTTGAACTTAAATATCTTTTATTTTCCAATAACAGTGACAAGCTCTTAGGTGAAATCTTAAAATTATTTTAAAGGTGTCTGTGTGTAGGATTTAGTGACATCTAGAGGGGAATTTTCAGACTGCAACAACTAAACAGTGCTGCCTTGACCCGAGCATGTAGTTAAACATGTGGTGGCCAGATAGTGTAGAAGTGTATAAGCCCCCTCTAGTGCAAATGTCTGTTCCGGGCTACTGCATTATGGCGGGGCCCATGAAAGAGGACCCACTCCTGAAGAAAACGCAGCAATTTGACACTAATGAAAACATAAACTTGAAAGAAAAGAGCCCCCTAAATCCTACAGGCTGGTCCTGTAAGTCCAGCTTTCCTGTGACTCCAGTGGCGACATCAGTCTGAGGGACCCCGTTCTGTGGGAGGTCGGTGGAAAACAGTCGGCCACTCTGTTGTGTGCTTTCCATTTGGCCGTTGAAACTCTGCGAAGGCGTCTCTGAAGGATCAGCTGATGTAGACGAGGGGTGCCGCATTCCAGCTCGGGCACCTCATAGCTAGGAGCTGCGCCAACAAGGCAGCCTCATCATGCAGCCCAGACTCCCTCCCCCATCTCCACCTATATGACATCCTCCCTTGGCCGTTCAGAAGTACTTCAAGCTGTTTTGCTCACAATCTGTTCTCGCTCTCGTGTTTCTCATGTTATCTCAGTCCACATTACAAAGACCCTCTTTATGTCTCAGTCGAACGTTCACCTCAGTCACTCATAAGTTTTCATGCCGTCGGTATCAAAGCTGACTATTGTATTTTTTTCTCCTGGACCTCCTGGTTTGTTTTTTTTGTGCATTTTATTCTCAGCCACACATGTATGAGTGTGTGTTTGCTATATTTGACCATTTCCCTTTGCTTCCTTTGGTCATACTGTCACTTTTCTTTCTTAGTCTTTTTTTTCTTCTTCAATACCTCAAATCTGTCACGTCTGTGTCTCAGTCTCAATCAGTCCCTCAGCATTCCTAAAGGAAGCCTCATACAAAGACGACAGAGTTTTCTTCTCCACCAGCTTTTCTTCTAGTCGGGCTGTATCATGCTGCTTTGTGATGTTTGGGGGCAAAGATCTTTTGAAGAGTTTTAGAGCTTCCCTCCAAAAGGAAAGGCAAGTTTCTGTGCACATGGGGGATGGGGGCTGAATAGTCTTGTGTATGTGCTTTCAAAACTCTATGAAATACTACATTTTAGAGTAAATGTGGATACTCTGAGCAGGTTCCATTTCTTTCTGCTTCTGGACAAGCACTATCAGCCTCTGCCACCTTAGCCCCTATTCACAAGGAGCGTTATCTGACACTGGACAGATTGAGACACACTGGACAGCTTTCTTTGTGTGAATGCATGTGTGGTAGAGCATATTTTATGAGGCTATGTGTTTGGGTGCATGCATGTGCATCTGCGTGTGTGAAATGTGGATTGTGATACAGCGGGGATCTGGTGTTATATGATGTCTAAAGTGACATGAGAGGACAGAGATGGATTGTCAGGCTTCTGAGGCTGCAACGGGAACCAGAGGCCCAATTCAGGGTTAATGTCTCATTATAAAACCGTATTTATTTTACATTACACGTCCTGATTAACAGCATGACACGGGTCGCTCATGACACATGACTTGTGTGGCAAACAGCCAGTGTACGGCACTGACAGACAGCATGCAGCCCCACGCTCCCCCTGCAAGAAGACATCTGTGAGCCTCAGCAGCATTGCCAACATCACAGCACACAGCAGATTGTAAATGTTATCAGGCCTGTCAGGTTGAGTCTATATTTGTCTCTGATATAGGCTCACGGTGCTTAACGAACAGTATTATGACAAAAAACAACAGCGGGCTGTTGTGTTGACCAGAGATCTGACAAATCCTGGTCAGCCATCGAGCTGTTAACTGGTCAGAGATTTTGTGACCATAGTCCCATTCACTCTTCCTGCACCAAGCAGCTCACACAGTTTCCTTGTGGGACATCACCCCCTGGTGTCTGGTATGCAGGTGTCTAATCTGGGCTGATCCCTTTGTTCCCCATGTTTGGCAACGGTAGAAGCCCCTCGCTGCTCTGGGAAGCAGAGATGGCATTCCAGCAGCTCTCCATAATCCTCTGTCGGAAGTCCAGTAGACGAATGGCTGGTGTTGATAAAACATGCTCCCAGTGGAATTTTACAGTTTGGGGATGTTCAATTCTTTGTTGTGTGTGGGGAGAAGAACAGCGCACTTTGTGCTGCTCGCAGCAAGAAGCAAAAATGTGCAGCAGAACTTTCTATCGTAGATTTGAGTCTGAGTGAAACATGTATCCATCCTACTTTTAGCTGGTTATCTTATTTCTGTTCCCACAGGTTACACTTATTTTATGGGTCACACATGAACTTTTATCACCTGTGCCTGTACCCAGATGCATTGTCATTCAGTTAAAATATTGTATTTGCCATCATATGTATTGAACTTGAATACAAGTGTATAGGAGAAGGGTTTGGGTAAATTATAATTTCTGCACGAAGACAAAAGGGACAGAGAGACGGAAAATAAAATGAAACGTGTGTTAACATATTTTTAGTGTTCTGGATTCTATTTCTTCAGTAAATCTAAACTGACACACTATGATTCTGGTAATTATTGGGTTGTTAAGAGTAGTGTAATTCATGTAAAATTAACCGTAACCCTTACAGAAACTTAACCCAGGTCGGGTATCACTGCTGTGCAATTACCCTCTCCATGCTTTTAATGAAATGAATGATAAAGAGTAACAATTTTAAGGATTTAATGGTTTGGATAATTCTCCTAAATCAAATTCTAAAAAATGTGTGGTGTTAAAAAAGATTATCTTCTCCAATTTTTCTCCTATAGGTACTCATCCGTGTCATTGACACCAACAATCACCGGCCTCAGTTTTCACAGGAGTCGTACATCGTGAACGTCCCTGAAGACAAACCAACGGGGAGCGAGGTCATGCAGATCAGCGCGACCGACAGAGATGAGAAGAATAAACTAACCTTCACGCTCCTGAGCAGCACCGATCCATTCAGCCTGAGGAAGTTTAGACTAGACCCGGGAACAGGCATTCTGTACACCGCTGAGCGGCTGGACCATGAGACAATGCATCATCACATCCTTACTGTCATGGTAGGAATCAATGAAAACTGTTTCTCAATAGTCTGGTTAATTATAGTTAGTTCCTACATATGGTTTTATGGAGTTTTACAAATGTTTGCTTCATTTGAAAATGAAACATCCATGAAATTAAGTTTGTTTATTTCTATTCATTCCCACATATGAATAATTTGTTGCTTTATGACGTTCGGGAAGGATTTATCCCTCAAGGAGTCTCACACTCTGTCTGTTTATCTTCCTCCTCTGCTTCTCTCTTTCTAAATTTCTTCTCTTAAGGTTCGAGACCAGGACATCCCAGTAAAGAGGAACCTTGTGCGTGTGATTGTCAACGTGGACGACTCCAATGACAATGCACCCTGGTTTATAGGCACACCTTACTCTGGTCGTGTGTTCGAGTCCGCTGCCGTAGGCTCGGCCGTGCTTCAGGTCTCAGCTCTTGACAAAGACAAGGGCCATAACGCAGAGATTGTCTACAGCATCGAATCAGGTACATATACACGAAGTCGCTGTTCCACTCTGTTGAGCCACTGTTTCCAGTCTTTTCTCTCACAGCAGAAAGCTTTCATTGTAAAATAATGCAAATGAAATCAGCTCGTAAAAAATGTATGAGTCATGTTGAGTCCTGCTGCCCACGGTATCTCCATCATGAATGGAATATTTTACAAAGACGAGGGGAGTATTGAAGACTGTGTAGAGGTTCTCCAAATGCGTGGGAGATGAGCAAATTCCCCCCTCAGAAATTTCCACAATGCTATTCTGCTACAGTAAGCAGTTATATGAGAACAAGAATTTTTGTTTTGAATACATGCATACTTAAAATGGGTTAGATGACTTATTCTAATTGAACAGTAGCTTGCTCATCAAAAACATCTTCCTGGTACAACACAGCAATATAAAGTTGTTTTTTTATGTCTCAGTCTTTTGGGTCTGCCGATAGGGGACATGTTCAAATTTTAACCAGTTGCCTGTCTATAAGACAAAATTGAGTATATTGTATGTAACACTCAGGGAGATGTGCTAAATTTCATTGTACAGCTGTGCATTATATTCTATTCTAAATTTTGAGTTGTATCAGATTTCAGTGGTAAAGTTATGTGAGTGTGGAAAGAAATATGTAGTCACAGGGTGATATTTCTAGTTTTACCATGTAGGTATTGCATTAGTCGCCATCACAGTGTGAATTGATTCGTCTTTTTCTTTAACACATTGTTCTTTTGTCTTCTCCGTCTTACAGGAAATGTTGCAAACTCCTTTGCCATCGACCCTGTTCTTGGAACAATCACAGTCGCCAAAGAGCTTGACCGCCGCAGCCAGACCCAGTTTGAACTTACTGTTAAGGCGTCTGATAATGGAGTACCTCCACTGTCAACTACAGCCACTGTACCTATTGTGGTCACAGTTTCTGATAATGCAGCACCCAGATTCACTGAGAAGGAGTTCTCTGCAGAAATCAGTGAATTAGCCCATCCAGGAAGCTTTGTGAGCTTGATTTCAGCAGTCAGCCAGTCATCTGTCTTCTATCAAATAAAGGGTGGCAACATCAACAACGCTTTCGACATAAACCCAAACTCTGGAGTGGTTGTGACCCAGGGAGCTTTAGATTACGAGACCGCCTCTCAATACAAGCTCATCATTCAGGGCACCAACATGGCAGGCATTGCAAGCAACACAACACTTCAGATTCATCTGAAGGACGAGAATGACAATGCTCCAATCTTCCTCCAGAGAGAATTCAAAGGAGTAGTCAGCGAGTCAGCTCCCATCAACAGTGTTGTTCTCACCCATGAAAACACTCCTTTTGTCATCCGCGCCTCTGATGCCGATTGTGACCAGAACGCCATGCTCATCTATCAAATCGTTGAACCATTTGCTCACAACTATTTTGCCATTGACTCAAGCACCGGAGCCATTAGAATCACAACAGCTTTGGATTATGAACAGAGGAGCGTTTTCCGCTTTACCGTCCAGGTCCATGATCTAGGAATGCCACGCCTGTTTGCGGAAACGGCGGCCAATGTGACTATTGAAGTCATTGATGTTAATGACTGTTCACCAGTTTTTAGCCAAGAAGTGTATGAGACCACTGTCATAGTGCCAACATACAAAGGAGTGGAAGTCATTAAAATCAACGCTACAGACTCAGACTCTGGGCCGAACTCAAAACTTCTCTTCTCCATCTCTGAGGGAAATATCGGTGATAAATTTAAGATTGATCCAATCACAGGCATAATCTCTATTCAGAATGTCACACAATTGAGGAGCCGGTATGAATTGAAGGTTAGAGTGTCAGATGGTAGATTTGCCACTGTGGCAACAGTAAAGATAAATGTGAAAGAAAACAAGGAGAGCAAGCTGAAGTTCACCAGGGAGTCCTACAAAGCCTATGTCCCCGAAAACTCACGTGAGAAGAAAACTCTAGCAGTCATTGGTGTTGTGGGGAACCAGGTGAACGAGCCTTTGTTCTTTAAAATTCTGAACCCTGACAGCAGGTTTGAAATCAGCCGCACATCTGGAGTTATCTCATCCACTGGAATTCCATTTGACCGTGAGGCACAGGACACATTTAATATCATCGTTGAGGTGACCAGAGAGGATGAATCTGAAGATGGCGCTCATGTTGTAGTAACCGTGACAGTGGAGGATGTCAATGACAACAAACCTATGTTCGTGAACCTTCCCTATCATGCCCTTGTTCAGATGGACGCGGAGGAAGGCCAGGTCATCAGACAGGTCACAGCAGTGGACAAGGACATGGGTTCAAATGCAGAAATCAGTTATTACCTTAAAGAGCATCAGGACCACTTTCAAATTAGCCCCTCCGGTGAAATTTCTCTCAAAAACAAATTTGACAAAGAGTCACTCAACAAAGACTTTGTCGTTGTTGTCACGGCAAAAGATAATGGAGAGAAGCCGCTCTCGGCTGAAGTAGACGTGCCAATAACAGTGGTGAACAAAGCAATGCCTATATTTGAGAAGCCTTTTTACAGCATTGAAATCCCTGAAAACATTCAGTTACATACACCTGTGCTTCACGTACAGGCCAATGATTCAGAGAGTCCTCGTATCGTGTACTCCATCTCTGAAGGAGATCCTTTCAAACAGTTCTCCATTGATTTCAACACGGGTGTTATCCATGTGATTCAGCCGTTGGACTTTGAGACACATCCTGCTTATAAGTTAAATGTAAGAGCCACAGACTCTCTGACTGGAGCACAGTCAGAGGTATTTGTCGATATCATACTGGAAGATGTAAATGATAATGCCCCTGTGTTCCCGTCAAAGTTCTATTACGCCAATATTTCTGAGGCCTCTGTCATTGGTACCTCAGTTTTGCAAGTTGACGCCAAAGATTTAGACACTGGCAACAACCAAGAAGTGTTCTTTCAGTTGGTTGAGGAAAAGGGGAAAAGCTCAGATTATTTTTCAATCGATCGTGACTCAGGAATAATCACGATAGCTCAAATACTTGATTGTGAGGAAACACCGCAGCACAAGTTGCGAGTCCGTGTGGTGGACGGAGGTGTTCCAGCCCTCTCCAGTGATGTCGTCGTGACGATAGACGTCATGGACCTAAATGACAATGCTCCAACATTCACAGAACCCACTTACAAAACTACCATCAGCGAATTGGCCCCGCGTGGACACTTCATCACCCAAGTCCAAGCATCAGATGCCGACAGCTCAGACTCAAATAATTTGGAATTCTCAATCATATCTGGGAATGAAGATCAGAACTTTGCTATAGACAAGCGCACAGGCGCCATCGTCATTTCCAACCACCGGAGGCCACATATGCAGCCGCTTTACAACCTCAACGTATCGGTGTCTGACGGTGTGTTCAGAAGCTCGTGCCTCGTCATGGTCACAGTTATCGGCGCCAACTTCCACAACCCCACCTTCTCGCAGGTTGACTATGTAGTAGAACTTGTTGAAAACTCACCTGCTGGCACCTTGGTAGCAGAGGCAAAGGCAACAGATGATGATGAAGGCATTTACGGGCAAATAACGTACCAGATTGTCAACGACTTTGCCAAAGACAAGTTTTCCATCAATGACAATGGAGAGATTTTCACTCTAGAGAGCCTAGACCGTGAGAACGCCATTGAGAAAGTTATTCCTATTTCTCTGGTAGCTAAAGACGGTGGTGGAAAAGTTGGCTTTTGTATTGTCAATGTCATTCTCACAGATGTCAACGACAATGCCCCACAGTTCAGAGCAGCTGAATACAAAGCCACCATTGCATCAGATGTTCCAAGGGGAACCTCAGTGGTTAAAATTGCTGCCTCAGACATGGATGAGGGAAGCAATGCTGACATTCAGTATTCGATCGAAGCAGATGTTGAGAATGTGGAGGAGAATTTTGAAATCCACCTGACCTCTGGGGTCATTGTAACCAAAGAGAGTCTCATCGGGCTTGAAAATGAACTCTATGCATTCTTTGTGAGGGCAAAGGATACAGGGAATCCATCCAAACATTCACTTGTGCAGGTTTACATCAAGATTGTTGCACCAGAGACCCCAATTCCCAAATTTGCTGAACCACATTACCGTTACACGATTTCCGAAGACCTTCCCATAGGCACAGAGATCGATGTGATTCAGGCAGAGAGTGAGCAACAGGTCGTCTACAGCCTTGTGAAGGGAAACACTCCCGAGAGCAACGAAGATGAGGTGTTTGTTGTAGACAGAGACAGTGGGGCCTTGAAACTTCAGAAAAGCCTCGACCATGAGACGACCAAATGGTACCAACTTATTTTGCTTGCCACGACCAAACATGAGAATTACGAGATAGTTGCATCTGTAATCATCAACATCCAAGTTAAAGACCTCAATGATAACAAGCCCACCTTTGAGTCAGATCCTTACGAGGCTGTCGTTGTGGAAAACCTTCCAAGTGGGACTCAAGTGATCCAAGTCAAAGCCACCGACCTAGACTCTGGAACCAACGGCCATGTCGCCTACAGCCTCAATCCCAAGCAGAACTCACAGGAGATCTCTGAGTTGTTTGCTGTTAATAGTGAAACCGGATGGGTGACCACGTTAAAAGAGCTCGACCGTGAAAAGATGAACAAATACACAGTTGCCGTCCTGGCCACAGACCAAGGGGATAAGCTCCAACATACCACCGGCACCACAGTGGAGGTAACCGTCGCTGATGTGAATGACAACCCGCCTCGCTTCACCGCAGAGATCTACAAAGGTACCGTGAGTGAAGACGACCCTCCTAGCGGGGTGATCGCTATCCTCAGCACCACGGATGATGATTCTGAGGACATCAATAAACAAGTGACCTACTTCATCACAGGTGGGCATTTATAATTCTGCAAAATAGATGATAAACTAGCACACAGAGTTTACTCCTAACTCCTTTGTGTAACTGTTTTTCATAAACAGAGCTGAGGGGGGATTATCCATTTATGCTACTTAATATGATGATAATATCTCATCTTTGAAACATTACACAGTCCTATTATCTGGTAGCAGTCTGAGTTATTGCCTGATTGCCCAAGCTCAAGGCAAATATTTAGGTCATCATCATACAGAAATGTATAATTATCTGAATAATGCTTTGAAATAGGCAAGGGGAAAATACTTCCTCTGGTGCTAATTAGCAAGTGGGAATAAATATGCCAAGTGTGGAAATATAAAGAGGAATCAGGAACCAGCACTGTTATTTGCTTTGTTCAACATTCTGTTGTGTTTGGTTGGAAGGATTGCTTGTGTACCAAAAATTTGATTTAGAAGCAAGGATTTGGATTTTTGAAGTTTGACTGAATACCTAAACGATGATTTCAGTGAATATAAATTGATATTTAGTGGGATTGAGTTTGAAATTGAGCACATATCCTTGTCCTTATCCTTGTGTGTATTTAATGAGTCAGGCTGGTTCTTGCCTCTAAGTTGTTGATCATTCTAAAGTGGTGCTCTCTTTTCAACGCCAAACAGGAGGGGACCCACTTGGCCAATTTGCAATCGAGCACATTCAGAATGAATGGAAGGTTTCTGTCAGGAAGCCCTTGGACCGTGAAGAGAAGGACAATTATCTCCTTAACATTACTGCCAGTGATGGCATCTTCACTGCCAAAGCCACCGTGGAGGTCAAGGTGTTGGATGCCAACGACAACAGCCCTGTATGCGAAAAGGTAGTAATTTTCTTCCCCATTTGTGTGTGTGCAATTTGAGTAGTTCATTTCAGTTTTTGTGCCCTCTTCATCCTTGCATTCCCTTTAATTTCTTTCCCCTCTTGCATTTTCCTCTTGCTCCATCCATCCCCCAGTCTCTATACAGTGAGAGCGTACCAGAGGACTCCCCCGCCGGAAGGCTCATCTTGCAGGTTTCTGCCACAGATGCGGACATTCGGTCAAACGCCCAAATCTCCTTCGAGCTCCAGGGAATTGGATCAGAACTGTTCGTCGTTGACTCTGAAACAGGTTTGTATCTGTGTGGGAACAGGAGTAATGTGTGATGTTTTATGGCCACAGAATACTGTCGTTATATATTCCATTTGATTCACTTGGCTTTTCTTTCTTGCTGAAGCCATCTGTGCCCTCAGCCATTGTGTCAGATTTCATTCCAGCTGTGCTGCAGGTTATTTTGATTTTTAGGAAGCTGTATGTGCGACACTTGTGTTGAAGGCTTTCTTCAAACACACATGGATCCCTGCAGCTCAGGCACAGTCTCATGTTCTAACACTTTAAGATCCAGGGCTTGTGATCTCTCTGCAAGCTGTTAGGTTTTTTTATAGTTGTGTCTGTGTGTGTGCAAATCATTATCAGCCATGAAGGAGGCAAATGGGTTTTCTTTTGCCCAGTTGTTATTTACTTATTCATTTCTAAAAAAGCCAAGAACATTCCCCTGTAGGGCAACTGAAAGACCCATAGTGGCACTAGTAATATTATTACAGAGTTACACTTCAATTTAATTTATGGCTGCTATACTTCTGGCCTGCAAATAATTTCTTCTTGGGGACCTTCTAAATCAGACACTCTGGCCTTTGGGATGAAAAAAGCAGGAAAAAAGGGAACTAAAAACAATACCAGTTAATCACAGCAGACTTGTTTTCCAAAATAAATGCAAAGAAAAATCATTAAAGGGCAGAACAAACTAGGCCAGTATATTTAAACAGCTATACAACACATCTGAGGCTGTATAAAACCCCTTAGTAATGGCAAAATTGACACCAAGGCAGATAATAAGGCCAATAATACTGTCCAGCTGTATTTTGGCAAACATCAATACTGGGTTTCTAGCAGCAGGGCTACTGTTACGTTGAGGGTTTTATATATTTTCCCAGTGCAGTGTAGTGGGATTATTGCAGATGAGGACAGCCAAGACTCTGGAGTTTTCCAGAATGTTGGCTGCTTCACTTCCAAGCTGATCTCAGCTGCCAGCACTGATGTTTTCCTTTATAACCCTTCTCTCTTTGGCTTTCTGTCTCTCCTCTTGTGCGTCAATTACTTATTTATTTCCCTCTGTCTTGAAAGCCATTAGTTGTTAGATGCTTTTCACTTGTTTAGTAGAAAGTAGACAAGGGGGCTACAGTAATGTAGAGTACACATGATGTGCTCTTTCAATCTCTATCTCTTGATTAATTGCCTACACAGATTTTATTTTTGTCTGTGAGGGGAACTGCTTTGATGCTTTTATTTTTTATGTCAAATGACGTCCCTCTGCTCCCAGAAGAGCGCATGTCTCTGTGTGTTTTGTACAAACTAGTTCTGTCTCACCTCCAGGAGAGTTGAAGACCTCGCAGCCCCTGGACCGAGAGGAGCAAGACGAGCACAGGTTCAAAGTGCGGGCAGTAGACGGAGGCGGGCGGTACTGCGAGGCCGACATCCACATCACTGTAGAGGACGTCAACGACAACCCGCCGCAGTTCTCATCCGACCCCTACAGCATTACAGTCTTCGAGAACACAGAGACGGGCACATATGTGGCAAAACTGCAGGCAAATGATGTTGACTCTGGTGAGGAATCTTTAATTCACAATGCACAATATTTCCACAACCTTTTGCTACCACTGGAAACAAAATCAGTCTAGACATTTATTATGTAGTAGGGGACATCCAGCACCTAATAGATTTAGTTTACTAATTTTTAAATATTAATGTTAAAAAATAAATTAATCAGGATTATCAAAGCATTAAAGACTCAAGAAAGCTGCTCTGCTCTCTGCTCTCTATTTCAGCTGAATCTGTGTATGAGCTTGTATTATCCATAGATTTGAACATAGCTGAGCTGATTCCGGCTGATTGGACAGCGGAGCGGCTCAAATTTGAAGCCAACATGTGAAGACAGTTATTGGTGGTTTGCCAGAACCCCGTCTCTGTTGCTGTGCAATGTTCTTTCATGGCACTTGTGCAGTTTGATTTCAGAGAGTGATGTCGAAAAAAAGAGGCTCTGTATTTCTAGCTGAATTCGCCGACTTAAAATATCAATTGCCACCACCAGATGTTATCAGCTGTAACTGCGTCACTCAGCTGAAGTTAGATCTGTGTCTTGCACTGTTTCAACTCACTTTTAGAGTTTGCACCTGACTTTTTTTAGAGCGGTAACCCAGTTAAAACGCTTGTAAATATGCGTAAATGTCTCACAGGCATAAAGTCAGTATCAGCTCTTGTGACTTTGGCCACAGAGTCTGTGTATAAGGGACTATTTTTCCCACCACAATTGAATGTCATCCATGAGAAAAGACTGTATCTTACATAAATGGAGAGGTGTATTAATCTGTACATAAGAAAATGTCAGACAGAGATAAAAGGGAGCAGTAATTATTTAAAATGTAAAGTTTAAAAAGGAATGTTTACTGCTCATTATCTAAAAATATAACTCACTTACGATTCTGAAAAGTATGCAAGTCAATCACCAGTCATTATGTTATGGTTCTTAAAATTTTAACGTTATTTTTCGGTTGGAGTGGTTTTTATTTTTAGGTTTTAGATGTTTTGGTGTAACTTTACTTCCCCAGTGCACTGGATGAATTATTAAGTGTCTGAACTTTGCTTTAGACAAACTTTAGAGATGCTGGAGGCTCGCAGGTAAATCAGTTCCCATTCTGCCTTAGTTCCTGCTGAGGCAAGAGAAAGTTAATTATGAGTCAATAAACTCACCAAAGCCATTACATTATGCTTAAAATGCAATTAACGGCATTGCATTGCTCAAAGTCAGTGTATAATATAGCATTATAATTCAAGAATTCTTTAAACAGGCTTTTAGCATCATGGTGTGCTCTCTGCATATGTGTCTTGGTTCAGTGCTGACTAACAATGCACAGGTTATTATCTTTCCATTATGCATTATACTAAATGGCACGAGGGAGGGATAACGAATGTGGAATTTCATGAATGATAAACCCCTCAAATTAAAAGCTCCATTACACTCTAATGAAATTATTCTCTCTTCGAGCTGAATTCTCAAAAGGGATGATTGCTATTTTCCATTCGCCTGGTGCAAAGCCGCAGGGCCTCGTATCTGTCCCGGGTGCCTTCACCTCTCAGCGAGCATCGCCAACCACCGACAGGTTTAGACGTGGATAAGACTGAGAACTTAAAACCACGCAGTTTTAACAGTCTCTTTAACTCGTTGGGACTTTATCCTGGAAACTATTGAACCTGCCGCTCCAGATTACACCTTTAGTTTAGTGGAGCAGGGCATTCTAGCTCGAGGAACCATTTCAGTATGTTCACTGTCAGAGAATTAAACACCCTCGCTTTCTATTTCTTTCTTTTTGGCTGGACTGACAGCTTGACAGAGTGAAAGGGATGCCAGAATTAGGTCCCCTCAGAGAGAAACGTTAAATGGTAAAAAGGAAAGAGCTGGTATTAAGACATTTCTTCCCCGAGGCTTTGCTGGCACAAAATGTTTCGCATTTTGAATATCAAGGATAAGGATACCCGAAGGAAGGGTGGAGAAAAAAGGTGCTCCCTGCAGTTTTGCCAGGAGCAATAATTATTTAGAGTTACGCTGAGTGAAAGCAGAGGGGGATTTGATTAGTATTTCTCTCACACACTTGGGCATCACACACAATGACGCTTCTTTTTGTGTGCGTCTGTCTCATATTTTTTTGGATTTAGGCTCAAGCTTGAATCTGTTTGGCAAGTCCCAGACAGACATGTACAAGAAAAAAAATGCGTTGTAGCTTTGACCCAGTTCACTCAGGCTCCACTCAACTGTCTCTTAGCCAAACATCAAAATGCAAAGCCTAATATATCCCTCCTCCTAAGAGAAAATAGTTGCTTTATCTTCCATTGATATTTGACTCTGCACATCTCCGTGTGCACTCACTCTTGGCACTAGTTGCTGTGTGCCACTTTGGCTGGAAGACGTTTGATACTTAGCCACATCGCTGCTCCTCCGCTCAGCCGTCTGCTGCTACAGTGTCTGAGAGGCTTATCAGTGTGGAATAGTTATGAACCAGACAGAAAAACAGACACAGGCTGGTGCCCCTGATCTGTGATAAACTAAAGTTATGCGAGTGCACATTCCTCCTTTGATTTTGCTTTGACCCTTATCACTCTTCCTGCATCCAAGTGTCTCCTTCTGCCCTCTGCACTGCCTTGCTGTTGTTATTGTCCTCATTCAATTTTTCCTGTTGCTCCACTCTAGAGGAATTTAATCAATTTCTGCTGTGTCTACGTTAGTGCTTTGTCAGATTCGGACAAGATCTTGAGAATATTTCCAATAAATGATTGATAAAGCTTTAAAAGCAGGGTTTCTGAGGTTTCAGATTCAATAATCTGAATTTTCAGCCTTTTAGAGTCTTAAATAAAAAATAAAATATTACATCTAAAAAAGGTCTTGAATACGTTTGAGCTGGTCTTAATAATGTTGCTGTTTATTTAATCAGTTGCGCTTTAAAATCTTTTTTTAGCAGAAATCTCTATGTTGCATATGTAGTTTGAGTAATGTTTCAGTTCTTTCTCAATGATGTAAATATTACAAATATATCTGCACACAAGTCCAACAAAGAACTGATAATTCATACATACTCTCTAACAGGCTATGTCACCTTATCTTTAATACATTTTATTTATTGTAAAAGTTTACAACACATCATTAGGTTAAATTTTTTTGATACCACATAAAAAGTTGAATCTTCTGTCAATCATCCCAGCTCCACTTTAATATTAAATGTTCCTGGTGTGGGACGTAGATGAGTAAACAATTATAAATTTATTTGTACAAGTCGATTTAGGCAATCATGATAAACTCAAGTCTCTTAAAGGACGATCAAAGCAGATTAAATAAAAACCATATAAGCGGGGCTCCCCACAGTCGACTCTCCAGCACGATAACGAGAATGGGGGGGGGCTTACCTGACAAATGAGAATACCATATCATATTTCAAATGGGGGCCACCTGCAGGAAGGCATTATGATTATTATTGTGATCCGTCTCTGTCTTGTTGCTGGGAGTGTCTTGCCAGTGGGAGGACGTGAGTTATGAGGACGGAGCGGATTAGACTTTTACGGCTTCTTTTTATAAGAGGCTGTGTGAAAGATGGATGCTTTGGAATGAGAATAGAGGATGGAAGTTGAGGATCAATACATCAATATAATAATCAATATGCTTGTTTACGCCCCGTACTTAAAGGAGTATTTCTGTTGATGTGGCCATCACTCTTATTGGTGATGATCATATTTTATTTACCAGCTTAACTTCTCAGACACGGGTAGCAGGTTAAACAAAAGGAAAATTAGACACTCATAAAGGTTGTAAGCTGAGGGTTATCGCATTATAACTAAAAGGAACATTTGCCAAAAGGAAATATGAACGTCCATGTTGCACAACAAAAACCTAATTTTCCTTTTTTCTTTAATTCCAGGTTTTAACAGCGACATCCTTTACTCATTGGTTGATTCCAGCGATGGATATTTCTCTATTGACGAGAGCACCGGCGTAATGAGCCTGGAGCGCCCCCTGGACCGCGAGGTGCAGTCGGTGTACGAGCTGAAAGCCCGCGCCACAGATCAGGGTTCGCCACATCTCTCAGCAGTGTGCCAAGTGGTGATCTCTGTCCTGGACATCAACGACAATCCGCCGGTGTTTGAGCACCGGGAATACACAGCCACGGTGTCGGAGGATGTGGCCGTGGGCACGCAGGTGCTCAGAGTGCAGGCCGCCAGCCGGGACACGGAGGCCACTGGAGAGATCACGTACAGCATCATCAGTGGAAATGAGCATGGCATGTTCAGCGTGGAGCCACATACTGGTATGTGGTAGCATTGAGTTTAATTGCACCATACTATATTTATTTTTACTCAATAGAGCAACTACCTCTCCAAAGACCCAACAGTCCCCTGAAATCTAGCCATAGATATCAGTCCCCTGTATGTGCCTGATCTGTTGAGCTGCTGTTATAAAGATCTTAGTTTTGTGCTGGGTCTAACTACAGTGCTTCATTGTGGACAGGTTTTAAATATGTAGTAGAATATATCTAGAGTCACATCATCATACCATTACATGGTTGTTGAGTCTACACCGTCTGCATTCCTTTCTCAACACAGATCGTGACATCGAGCTAAAAGCCAACAGGGATAAGTGTTATCCCCAGTGTGTCGACATCTGCAAACAAAACAACAACCGCACATAAAACTCACATGTTCAGCCCGCACAGAATTTTACCTGAATGTCAAAAAGCTAAAACCCTGTTTTGTTTCAGCCGGGACCGGGATTATCTTGCTGCATCGCTGTAACGCAGCACACAAAGAAAAGAGCAGGATACCGTTCTATTGTGTAGCTGCAAGCAGTAATGCAAGTTAAAGCAGCTGAACCAAGCATAACTTTTGTATTTCAGAGTCAGTGACGATTTGCAGAAACTTAAAAAACTTAAAAGTTATGGCCGGAGAAAATGTAAAAATGCTCTAAACATATTTAGTTATTTGTGTATGCATTGTTGTATCATAGTCACAAACTTATAGAAGATAATCAACACACTGATATACGAATTCCTGTAATGTGACGCCAGCACTCTCTTCCTCTCTCTTTGTCCCCAGGTGACATCTTTGTAATAGAGCCGCTGGACTTCGAGGTTTCCCACGAATACTACATCACCATAGAGGCTACAGATGGTGGCTCCCCGCCGCTCAGCGACATGGCCACCGTCAACATCAACCTGACGGATGTCAACGACAACAGACCCGTCTTCAGCCAGGCGATCTACACAGCCGTCGTCAGCGAGGACACAGAGCTGGGAAAGACTGTGATGGCGGTGAGAACACACACGCTACCTTCAGGGACACGTAAACATACAGCTTGTGCTTAATGTGGGGAAATAACACATTAATACTCTAAAAGTGCGTCTCTCCGTTTTAACTTTCCCACAGCTCCACTTGTCTGTTTGTTCACCTTCTCACTCTCGTTGTTCATTTACCAAATACACTATCACATATCTGCACCTGTGGCAAATCACCATCTGGTGGCACAGCTAAATTAAGACCAATGCTCGTCATGCTCACTGCACCCCTGCTCTCGTGCATTATCTGTCACACATGCTCAAACTGTTTAATTAAGAGGCATTTGACTCATTAAGCCCCTGATGCAATACAGACACTTTCTACCTTTTTCCACGTTGAAATTTTTAGTCCTTCTATCCCTTCCCTCCTCTACTCCTTTGTCTTATATCTGTTGTCTGATGTACCTGAATATAAATTCGATGCCTGCTATTGTCTCATACATACAAATCTTCAGTGATTTCCCAAAGGATTCCTTTCTGTATGAGACGTTTGGTTGGTTTTTAACCTTGTTAAAATTTGCATTGGGTGTTTTTTATACCATATTAGATATATATCATGTAGGAAAAGGCACTTAAAGAGGGCATAACCCCTCTAAGGCAAATGTTAAAGAAGATGAAAAAAGGAATACTTGGATCCGTCTGTTTATTCAGATCCACTCCAAATTTAAATGGGTTTTTTGTTGGGTCTCCTCCACAAACCCCTCAACAGAACATAACCTCCTCAGCAGAGTTAATAAACAGTCAACACTTCGACTCTGGATATGCAGTTATTGAAAAAAGAAAAGAAAAAAATTCAGACAGTCAGTGTTTCATATCTGATAAAGTAAAAACTAAATCCAGCATCATGTTATTATGGGTAAGACCAAGGTACATTTCACTGTTTCTCAAAGTCACCGATTCGTTTGTTGATTATTTTCTCTTTTACATTTATCACATTATTCTTATGCTCATCTATAAACAGTCTTAATTATGTAAATTTTCACTGTGAAATACCCAGATTTGTTTTTAACGTGGCAGATAATTACGTGTTCGTTAAGGACCTTGTCGTTCTTAGCAAGAAGCTGATTTAGAAAATAGGATTAAGGCCTTTTAATATATAATTTAACGTAAGATAGGGAAGCCAAATCATTGGATTGTCATTTAAACCCCTTATCGATGGTGTCCAATTGATAATTGTCTTGATTGCCTGTTTCAAAGGTGGTGGCGGAGGATCTGGACGGCCCCTCTTATGATCACGTGCGGTTCTCTATCGTGGAGGGGAACCAAGGCAGCCCCTTCACCATCGACCCGGTCAGAGGAGAGCTTAAAGTCGCTCGCCAGCTGGACAGAGAGCGAGTAAGTGCAACAGCAGACACAATGCTGACTGTACACATAGGCTTAAATCCACAGAGGAACTAATTGCACTCTATGCAGAATCCAATCAGAGTCATGTCAGGCCTAATAGGAAAGCTTGTTTACCGATCTGTGCTGCATTATTGCTCACAAAAGCAGCTTTGCCCATGTATAGTAATTCTCTCCCTTCTTCCCCCCAGACTTCAGGATACAAGCTGACGGTGGTGGCTTCAGACAACGGGGTGCCCCCTCTTACCAGCAGCGCTTTGATTAACATCGACATCTCGGACGTCAACGACAACCCGCCCCTTTTCTCCCAGGCCAACTACAGCCTCATCATCCAGGTGAGAGGGTAGAGGGGGGTGTCTGCGTGGAGAGGATGAGAATGAGGCTGATGCAAAGAAAGCAAGGGAGGGGGAGGTGCAGGGGAGGGATTGCAGTGGACACAGAGAGAGGGATTAACAAGGAAGAATAATGGGAGACTGCGAATAGAATGTCAAGAAGCAAGTCGGAGGATGGAAGTGAGGAGAAAGGAGGAGGGCGAGGGAATTGAAAGGCAGAGGGCTGCGTCTTAAGCATAAGAATGTAGATGAAAGATTTATCTGGAAATTTGATGCTGATAATGGATGCATGACTGCAGTAAAGGGAGAACGTGTGAGGACCTGCACCTGCATTGTTTGGGACATCGAAGAAAGAAAAAAAAATTACTACAAAGCTGCAAGTGAAGGTGATTCATTTCCAATTTTTTAGTCTGTTAAGAAAACTGAAAAAAGTAATTTAAGAGGTACTGTGAGGGGGCACGGTCCATGTTGCAAAGAGCTCAAACACTTCAGAATGAAACATTACTGTGTCCCTGAGAAAATCCTGACTGGCTTTATTTTACTCACTTTGGAACCTTGATCAAGGTGAAGCACAGAAATTGAAAGATCTGAATCCCACTCATGCACAGGAAAAACAATCAAAACAATATATTAATAGTAATAGTAGTAAATCAGTTTAGTTTTAAGCACCAAATCAAAGCACATTAAGGCAGAGTAGAGAAAAATGGGAGAGATAGTAGATGGCAAATTAAATCCTTCCAGTATTTGTGGAGACGTCTCACTCTGAACCACAAATGTGAACCTCATGGAGCAAGAGGAAAGTTCAGGGGTCATCAAAAACCAGAAGGGTTCAAATCTGGAAACCACTACGATTTTGTGCCAACCAATTTAGTCTGAGCTTTATACATTGAGTGAAAACCTCAACCTGCTGGTGGTACTAAAAGACCGTATGAATCCTCCGGAGAACATGTGCCAGGTTTTTAAAACGCTGAAAATTAATCATCATTGAATTTTAGGCTTAATAAAATATTACATGAATACTAACTTAGGTGGGTCTTAATTATGTTAATGTTCATTTAACACCACTTCTGTTGCACATTTTTCATATAAAAAGAGCAGTGGCATGCATAGTTGGCAATGTCTCCATGTGTTGTGAAGAACATTGTTATAAAACTGTAAACCATGCTCCTGTCTCTGCCTGTAGTTTGCAAGGCAACGTGGCACATTTTGTTTTATCCTCTACCAGGCTACATAACCTCATGTGTAAGTAATTCTAGGGTTCTCATATTCCTTCATATCTGTCGTGCTTGAAGTGTTGAATTTCTTTCTTTATGGTCTTAAAAATCGAGCTGGTTTAAACCTGTAGAAACACAATATGTTTGCATAAGCAGTCCATCCAGTAGTAGTTTAGTATGGAGTGAAACACAAACTCTGACATCTGCTGCTGACGAGTTTTAGCAACTGGAAGAAAAGAAAAAAAAAACACAGTCCCGGCAGGTATTTGTCCCACATCAGCAGAGTTCTGTGGGTTTATATCTTAACTACTGCATTTGTAGTTAGACCCAAATATAATCATAAGCCACCTCCTCTCACTGCAAACGTTAAACTCTCCCCTCTCATATCCCACAGGAGAATCGACCAAAAGGCACAAGTGTTCTTCAGCTCACTGTAACCGACCGGGACGCTTCCCACAACGGCCCACCTTTCACCTTTGCCATCGTGGACGGGGATGAGGGCGACGTGTTCCACATCAATCAGCAGGGAGCTCTAGTAGCTGTGGGCGCGCTGGATAGGAAAAGTAAAGAGCACTACCTACTTCAAGCACAGGTGAGTCACAGCGCTGAGGAGAAAGCGGAGCTGAGAGGTTGAATTGATTTAACTGCCAAGCCACAGCAACCTGATCTATTTGTCTTCCTTTTTTTCCCTCTTGGTACCTTTTCTGTCATCCTCGCTAACTCGCTATCTCTTACTCTTTTTTCTCTCAAACGACTCAGCATTCCTCTCTGCGCATCCATCCTTGAATGCCTCTAAATATATTTTAAATGAATTATACTATAAATGCAGCTTTTAGGCTCGCTTGCAAGTGCATATAGAATTTAAATGGATAGTAAAGCTGCTGCATTAGTGTACATCTCACACAAGAAGCATAAATAAAACACATTTGCTTTGAGTTGGCACGATTATGAGTGTTGCTGGGTGTTGATTGGAGGAAAGATGCAGAAGATAAAACCAGTGGGCAGATGGGATATGAGACGTAAGTGTGATGTCTTCTTACACACGAGATGCACGCTTGAGTCGTGTTTTTCTTGTGGAACCGATGACCATCTGTGTGACAGTGTGAATCTGCAAGTGCATGAACTGTAGATGTTTTTTTCGGGGCTTTTAATCTCTTAATATATTCACAGTATGGAAATGCAGTCAACTCCGGGATGTCAGCAGTGGAAGAGCTTGATTGCCCTCTGCTGTTGGAAAAATAAATCTTACAGATAAATTGCACATTATTTGGTCATGGATGCATCTCCTTCCTCTTTCTCACGTTAGGTGTCAGACAGCGGCAAACCTCCGCTCTTCTCCACCGCCTTCATCAGTGTACGCATCATCGAGGAGAGCGTTTACCCTCCTGCCATCCTCCCTTTGGACATTTTCATCTCCACTGCTGGCGATGAGTACGCTGGAGGCGTCCTGGGAAAGATCCACGCCACGGACCAAGACATCTACGACACCCTCACCTACAGCCTCGCCCCTTCATCTTCCTCCACTGACGAGAGCGGCTCCTTGTTTTCAGTTTCCGCCTCTGATGGTAAAGTGATCGCCCTGAGGTCGCTCGACGTGGGTCACTACTCCCTCAATGTGACAGTGACTGACGGACGCTTCACCGCGGCCGCTGATGTCACCGTGCATGTTCGGCAAGTGGCCAGTCAGGCCCTCGACAACTCCATCGCTGTACGCTTTGCAAATATTGCTCCGGAGGAGTTTATCGGGGACTACTGGCGCAACTTCCAGCGAGCGCTAAGGAACATTGCCGGGGTGAGGAGGAGCGAGGTGCAGTTAGTGAGCCTGCAGCCTTCAGAGCAGGGAGATCTGGATGTGCTGCTGACTCTGGAGAGATCAGGAAGCCCCTATCAGTCTCAGGAGGTAAGAACAACCAGAGTGAACTCTTGTTCTAAATGTTTAAGTGTCATTTTGATTTTTTTTTGTTTTAGATTTGAGGCAGCAGCTAACAGCCATCAATCAATACATCTTTTTATTTTATTAAAATTGTGAAGCAATTTTCAAGAATCTTTGGTGATATCTTAAAACTCAAAGATATTAGGTTGGAATAAAGTGAAAAAGAAAATAGCTTAAAACAGCAGAGTCGTATAATTTCAGGTAGTTGATAAGACTGATTGTTTCAGCTTCAAACATGTAATTACCTTCAGGGCTGGTAAGCTTTGCCGTGTGGTCTCAAATCAGAAACACACTTTGAGCTAAGATGAATGAGGGGGATCTATTGAAAGCGTAGCAGGGAACTGGAGCTGGAATGAAGAAGAAGGCGGCACGGCTGCGGCAGGTGACAGGAGGGCGGTGACGAATTGCAGGAGCGACTGAGTAGGGGTGAATGGTTGAGAAGAATTGACGTGGACAGGATGGAGGTAGCTGCTGTTTGTGGGTTGAGGAGCAGTGAAGCAGCAGAGTTCTGATGCACAATCTGTCAAAAAATAACACGAAAAGCAAGAACATCTGCTCCGGGCAGTAAAGGTAGAAGTACACAGATGTTGTCTGAAATGGAAGTTCACACATATGTTGTTTAATTATTACTGCTGAATATTCATGTGTGAGTAAGAGGCAGTGTACAAACGTATGTGAAAGCATGGCCATATATATATATATTATAAGAATATACTCTGATTAATTTTCTCTCTATCTACTGATAAATCAAACATTTGTTTCATGTTTTTATCGATTGGCAAATTGATGAATTCAGAACTAATCTCAATTTAGAAATCCTCTTCATTGACTTTATTGGTGTTTATTCCCTATTTTCTTCAGGTGGTTTTCCGTAAGCTGAACTCCTCTGCTGCCGTCATCGAGGAGATGACGGGTGTCCGCATCCTACGGGTGGTGCAGAAGCTGTGCGCGGGGCTGGACTGTCCGCTACGCTTCTGCGATGAGGTCGTCTCCCTGGATAAGACCACCATGTCCACTTACAGCACGGCCCGCCTCAGCTTCGTTACACCGCGCCACCAGAGGACGGCGACCTGCCAGTGTGACGGTGATTACGCCTCATAAAAACACAGACACGCACGTTTATTGTCTCCTACGACCTTCCAGTCTGAGTGGATGCTCTTTGTGACTTAGGTGGCAGATGTCCTGTGCTGAACAACCTGTGTGAGAACAACCCCTGTCCTGAGGGGATGGAGTGTGTAGCCGATCCCAGAGCGACCGTGTACAGTTGTGTGTGTCCAGAGGGCAAAAAGGGCAAATGCTCCGGTGAGACCCCCCCCCCACCTCTTTATCTGTGTCTCAAAACGTCTTTGTCTTTGCTTTTCTTTATTGACACACTTCTGTCGCTTCATATCAGATGGCCACTCGCTGACGTTCAGCGGCGGCGGCTACGTGAAATATCACCTGATGGAGAATGAGAACAAGGAGCTGATGAAACTGTCTGTGAGGCTGCGGACCTTCTCCAGCCACGCGACTGTCATGTACGCTAAAGGGACGGACTACAGCATCCTCGAGGTGTGTGTGTAAACCAGTTGTAATCATACATTTGTCACTTCAGCCTCTTTTACCCATTACGACCCCAGGCGCCAATTAAAAACACACTCCTAAGTCATATTTATTTAATTTAGACCTGAGGGTTTTCTGAAGAGCTGACAGAGTTGCAAATTTCCAGAGAATTATCATCCTCTGAAACAGATAGAGACATGAAATAAAAACATTTGATTGCATAAACATTTTCATTTCGTTCTCATTCGTCAACGTTTTCCCTAAACCTCATGAACATTAATTTAAAATCGAAAAAGCTGGCAAACCTGAGATCCCGCCCACATCTTTTATCAACTGAACCTCGGTCAGCAGGAACATCACCTGGGTCTGAATCTTCCTCATTGTTATTTTAACCGATGTTTTCGATGATTCGCTTAGATCATATATCTGAAACGCTACTTCAAAAACATATTTCCAGACAAACAAACAAAATGCATTTGCCTTTCCTGCGAGTATTTGAGGGAACTGTCAGTCACATGTCTCGAAAACAACGACGTTGTGGATGAGATGCTCACGTCTCACCTGCCTCTAAAGGTAGAAGCCTGCAAATGTCACACCCGTTGTTCACGGTATATAAACACATATGTCACCTCCAGTCTTAATGGATTAAAACCTTGTGAATCAAAATTACGTCTAGACGTGCCCATCTCTGACCACCCAGCATTTCCATATCAGGGCGGTTCAGTAAACACACACCCGACCTGCCCTCCCCTGAGAGCACCCAGCCGACTGTGCTGAAGGGTTCACAGAGCCATTTTAAAAACTCCTCTCACATGAGGGACTATGGGAATGTGGTGGTGGGTTGACAAAATCACACACAAGAGCTATTTTAGTACTGGGAGGGAAGCAGAAAGCAGTTTTCCACACATTCCTTTCAGAGTCTGTCTGGCACAGCCGTCTGCACACCAGACGTACGACTAGAACCTGGCTGGTGAGCAGGGGAGCTATTGTTCATCATGCTGCCATGTATGGTTTTTAATATCTACAGTTTGGATGTTTGTTTTAGACGAGTGAACAGACGTTATATTGTTGTAAGAAGTTCTGGGTTTTTCTTGTAAACTTGGTGTTGTTTGCTTTTGTTATTAAAAAAAATCAGCCGCCCTCTGTAAGCGAGTGATTTATGACAGTGTCACACATTGATTTCCAACAGTTACTTGAAGATTAGATTATAATTTCTCCACTCCAAGTTTTAATCTTGTAGAGATCTGATAAACTCTGTTCTATGTCTTTATTTTATTCTTCTCAAACAGATTGTGAACGGACGCCTGCAGTACAAGTTCGACTGCGGCAGCGGCCCCGGCCTCGTGTCGGTCCACAGCGCTCAGGTTAATGACGGCGAGTGGCACACCATCTCGCTAGAGGTGGACGGTAACTACGCCAAGCTGGTGTTGGACCGTGTGCACGCTGCCTCGGGCACGGCACCGGGCACCCTGCGCACCCTCAACCTTGACAACAGTATTTACTTTGGCGGTCACGTACGCCAGCTCACCTCCTCTCGCCACGGACGCAGCCTGCCCGTCACCAACGGGTTCCGCGGCTGCATGGAGGCCCTCAGCCTGAACGGCCTGGAGCTGCCTCTCAACACCAAAGCTCACCGGGCCCACGCCGTGCTGGAGGACATCGTGGACGTGGCTCCAGGCTGTGCCCTCGCACCTGCTGAGAGTTGTTCCAGCAACCCTTGCACCAACGGCGGGAGCTGCACCTCGCTGCCTAATGGAGGTACATAATGTCCTGCCCGGCTCATTGCACTCACTCAGATTTACGCTGAAGCTGCTTCTTTTAAATTTCCAGTTCTCCCTTTTTGTGCTGTACCACTGGAGCACTTGTACATTTTCAGCTGCGTGGAAGAGATCAGGAGTTTTCAGTTCTGAAGACTTTGCGTCTCGCTGCCTTAAACTGCAAATCAGTCGTAGCTTCTTTTCTATTACTTTAAACCAAGAGTAGTATAGATTGTCACATTTACCCATTTGAAGAGGTGAACCAGCTCTTTCTCTAATGTGTTCCTGTTCTGTTTGTGCTCTTTGCTGTCAATGCAAACTCAACGCTTCTGCATCTCTTAAGCATTAAAACCGCCGGTGCGTTTCTGACGTTGTAAACGGGCCTGTTTGGAATTGGCTGTTTGTTTGTCCTGTGGAGGGCGGTGACTTGTTGTTGTGATCGACACTGTCGCTTACATCGATGAGTCGCCTGTTTACTCAAAGTTTATTAGTATTGAAAGTATCATGTGTCCAAATCGCACCAAAGTCGACACTGCACATATTTGTGTCCTTAAAAATACACTCGCCTATGAAGCTGATAAGATGAATGGTTCTTGATATGTGAGCCACAGATAGACAGATATTTCTGGAATTAGTAGATAGATGTTCTGGAAGCATTGACATCAGATTAATTTAAAAAAAACCTCCAAACTAAAGTACGATGAACACTTAATGCTTTTGACATTTATGCTAAGAAAAGGCCCCAAGAGCGACTGACGTTTCCCCCCTGACCGCACAGTGAGACCTTTTCCTGTTTTATCAATTATCTTGTTTCCAAACTGACACATTAATACCGTCTCCACTTCCTGCTTGTTCCCCACCCCACAGGCTACTTCTGTAAGTGTCCGGCCTCCTTCATGGGCACCCACTGTGAGATCGGCATAAGCCCTTGCGCCTCCAACCCCTGCCTGTACGGAGGCACCTGTGTCCCTCGGGCAGAGGACTTCTACTGCCAGTGCAGAGGGCAGTACTCCGGACAGAGGTATCACAACTTTCTCCTGTTGGTCTCCGGTGTAGATAGAAGAAGTGAATGTTATCTACGAACATGCATTATTAGTGCAACACTGGTAGAGAGTGTAGTGGTTTTCATACTGGAATTGATGTTAAATAGTCATATTTAATGTTGAAGAGTAATGATTATATTTGTGGTGTAACTCTGAGCAGCAGTTGTCAAACCTGAGGCACTTGCACGCCAGTAATTTTTATTTTTTATCGTTATGTCCTCTTCATTGATTTTCATGGTAGTTTATCCTGCAGCAACATAAAACCTTCACACTGTATCTCAGCAGTTTGATGAAGTTGCTGATGTGAACTTCTTTTGACATCAGGTGCCAGTTGGGTCCGTACTGCAGAGACAACCCCTGTAAGAACAGTGGGAAGTGCATCGACAGTCTGGATGGACCGGTGTGTGAGTGTGAGGCAGGATTCCAGGGAGACAGGTTCGTTCATTTTAAACTTTAAATTCATGAACTCACAAGTCTGATCTCCATGATAAACAGAGTTTCACCTCCTGACTTCATTTTCATGTATCGTCCAGGTGCCTGAGTGATGTTGACGAGTGCATCAAGAACCCCTGCGTCAACGGGGGCCAGTGCCAGAACACATACGGCTCCTACAAGTGTAACTGCTCGCTGGGTTTCAGCGGGCAGATGTGTGAACTCCGCACCGAGGTCCGCAATGAATTCATCTCCACCTCCTGGAACATCGGCCTGGAGGAGGTGATCGGCATCGTGGTGTTCGTCTCCAGCATCTTCATCCTGGTCCTCCTCTTCATCATCATCCGCAAGAAGGCCTGCCGCAGGAAGTCCAAGGCCAACAACGGCGACAAGCACACCGGAGGCTCAAGCATGTCTCACTCCTTCCTGCAGCGGCCGTACTTTGACGCCAAACACAAGAACTTCTACTCCGACATCCCGCCTCAGGTCCCCGTGCGGCCCATCTCCTACACTCCCAGCATTCCGAGCGACTCACGAAACAACCTGGACAGGAACTCGTTCGAGGGCTCGGCCATCCCGGAGCACCCCGAGTTCAGCACCTTCAACCCAGACTCCGTGCACGGCCACCGCAAGACCGTGGCCGTCTGCAGCGTGGCGCCCAATCTCCCTCCACCCCCGCCCTCCAACTCGGTCTCAGACAGCGACTCCATCCAGAAGCCAAACTGGGACTATGACTATGACAGTAAGTTTGTTTAGTTTGTGCTTTTAATGTGGGTGCAAATATTTATTTTGCCAACCTGCCCCTGAGTAGATGATAATTCATAATTTGTGGAGTTGTCTTCACATATTTACATTATTCTCTTTCACATTTTATTTTATGGCTTTAATGTTTGTTCTTATCTTTTTGCAGAGTTCACATGAAGGAAAATGTAGTTTGGTGCATTTAACGTATAAATGTTTCTACAGGCAAACAAACACTTCAGCATTCATACAAAGTTTCTATCAATAAATAAATAACAAGTGAATATATATACTGAGATTTAAATGGGGCAGTTCTTTGAAATCAGTTTCTTAAGTCTAGAACTGCTAAGAACTGCAATCCAACTCACTTAAATACGTTTTAAATAACAGTACTTTGTCTCCATTGGCTCCTTATTACCCAGCCTTTGTTTCCAGGAAACTTGCTAGAAAATCATTAGGACGTAATGAACCCTAAAAATAGTGTTGCCCAAGTTAATTCCAACCCTGTTCACACCTGTTCCTCTTTGCTCCACTGCTTCGTAAAAGCTTCTTACCTCATTACAGAAATGAACTCACATTCCATGATGTTATAAACAAACCATAACCAGATCACTTTATTATAATCAACCTGAAAAAACTATTTTAAATGAACAACATCACACACAATTTTAAAATCTGTTACGCTTTCTTCACCAGCTAAAGTGGTGGACCTGGATCCGTGCCTGACCAAGAAGCCTGTGGAGGACAGCGCCTGTCACCCCTACAACACCAGGGGGAGCATGTCTGAGGTCCAGTCCCTCAGCTCCTTCCAGTCAGAGTCCTGCGACGACAACGGTACGATGCCACTCAACACGTTCAACCTTTTCTCTCCTAGTGAATGAAGAAAACTAACAAGATAAAATAGTTTGATAATCACAGTGATTCATGTAGGAAATGTTGTTTTATTGCAATTGTGATGAATTACTGTTGTTTTTCCTTTGCTGAGTAAAATGCTTGCAGTGTTTCTTTGCATGCTCAGAATGGACGACCCGAGTGGTTGCTCTGGGGGTCACGTCTTCTCTTCTCTCTCTTTTTGCTGCGGGGCATCAGCTCCCATATGGATCAAATCAGTCCACAGATCCAGAACAAGGTTTTAAATAAGGGGTCCAGCCTGTAAGTCCTGATTCACTGCCGGTACAGACGGAAGCAATCACAACAACTTGTTCTGTGTAATTCTCCCGGGATCACACAGCATTGTGACCCTGTTTTCCATCCAGCTGGTCTCATTTCACCTGAGCTCAACTCCGACTAAAGGAGTGTGATGACTCACTCATACAGCCGTTATGTTCTGTTGGAAACTTCACTCGCAAGGTCATTGATTTGACGCACGCCTGCATTTTTCATTCATTAATTTTTTATTTACAAGCATGTTTTTTCTCTTCCCTTTTGTCTTTGTTCTTTTTCTTCAAAAACGTAGCCACAAATGGATGTTTAAAGCAAACATCGAGGTACATATCACCAGGGTTTCCATGCTCCTGTTATGTTCCCCCAGCTGCTCTTCATGTCACATTTATCATCACTGGGTTGTCATGACGGGGATCGTGCTGCTCATAAGTCATAAAAACCTGCACCCTTTGAAATAAAACATGAGGCGAACCAGAAATATATGGAAAAGTATAAGGCCAGGCGTAAGACAACAAAGAGAAATATATTTTCCTATTGTATTTCGAGAATAAAAATGAAAAGGATGGAATTTTTTTTTCCTGTTGGAAGTAAATGAAAATGTTGAGAAAGTTAAATCAAATTAAATTGAGGAAGTTTTGTTTAGGGTATTTTGTGAAGACGGAAAGACGAGATTAAAGTTGAGCAACATATTTCACAAACAAGGTCAAAGTGTCGACTTTAATGTAAAAATAAAATTATCTAATTTGATCCGACTTTGTTCTTGATATCCAAAAATCTTCCTGTTCACATTTTTTTCAAGCCTGGCCCAAATATTCTTCCATAGAAATGTAACTGGACACACACACACTCTTTGGAAATGTGTTAGTATCTCCAGGGAATTTCACTGATTCTTCCATCTGTACTGTCAATGGCACCCCGTAGCATTCAGTATGTTGTGGTGTGTTATATTGCATAAACAAAACCACACCCCCACCCCACCCCACACACACACACACCGTGTCGCCTTCCACCATTGTCTTGTGCCCAGCCATGAAACACCCCCCACCCCCCCACTCAGACATTCAGTGAAACTTAAGTGTGTCTGGCAACGAGAACAGTAGAATCAGTGGGACGTGTCTCTGGTGTCCCGCCATCATTCGCTCCATATGTGTTTATTTCTTTTTTAAGCGTTTGTATTAATGCTAGAATCTCTTCCACCCCCACCCACCCCCCTCTCACAAGCCTCCATAGTGACAGTAATCCACCTTGTTGACACGGTGGGAGGAGAAGGTATTCTTTTATTGCTTCCATCTGACAGTAGTTGTGTCGTGGTGTTGGGTCGCAGCGCTGCCATTATCTTACACTGACAAACCCCCCCTCCAGCCCCCCGACGTGTGGCTTCTCATTTTGATCAGCTAATTAAAAAACGCACCAATGCTAAATCCAATTAAACACCAAATTAAACAGGCACAGAAGTGATGCCTCCCAGTCTCAGCGTCAGACTTTGATTACACAACTCAGGACGTCTGTTTAAGAAAATGGCAAAAACCCTGTTGTTCATTAATTATTCTGTCGCCCTCTTCATCATCATTTTGTCTTTCATTGTCCACATTTCATTTGTGCTCTCAGACGATTGTTTCTTCCTCTCAGCTCCTAACGTGACTTGTTCTCTTTCTTCTCCTTCTTGCCTCATGTAAAGAGTCTTTTTTGGCTCATGATCTCAAGAACCCAAGAGGTGACTTTGTTATTTTTTGTTTCCGTCTGTGTTTGCCTGCTGTTCACTGGTGTTAACACCCCCCGATCCCACCCCCATCTAACTCTTAACCACTAACCCCAGAGCATAATGAGGAGCGGGTTAAACCTCCTCAACAAGATGAAACCGGTGTCACGCTCTCCGCACCGGTGGTGTCACGGCTGTGAGATTATCTATTTCCCCACAAACACTCCCATGCATGGCTCGGATGTGGTGACGCTGTGAGGGAAAGTGTTAATCCGACTGTTGTGTGATGAAAAGGTTTTTGCTCCGTAACTAACAGGAAATATTCTCAGTCGTTTGTGTTTGTTCATGTGTTTGTGTAACTGTTTTAGAAACTTGAAGCTTCTGTAAGATTTTATTAAATGTGAATTTGGTGAAGTGGTGGAGGGAAGGACAGTGAAAGAAAAGTTAGATCAGCTAAAACTTCATGTTATAGCCAGTTAGAATATGTCAGTGATGTATAATAATAATAATAAGAGGGAGATTGGATTATATTGATTTGTAGCTTTGAAGAGACACTGAGGTCTTAAGAAACACAACACGTCCCTCATACTAGAGATTTGAAATGTGGTAATATTGAGAATAAAGAGAGAAAATCACTGAAATATTATGATAATTATAATATTACCTCTTAGAGCTTTGGTTTGATGACTTTTTTTAAAAAGAAAAGTAAATTGAGAAAACTCATATCCACTCACATAACAGAGGCATGACATCACTCTTAGGATGAGGTAAGCCTATAATTATATCGCCCCAAATTATAATTATTAAATAAACACATCGCAGAGTTCAGGATATTTAAAATATTATAAAATTGGAAATAATAAAACAGAATTATTTCACTGTCTAAAGGTTTGTGCAGCTGCTCTCACAAAGTGTTGTGTCGTTAGTTGTGTATTAATGAACAACTCGTTGTGTTGGTGTGACGTTGTATTGTGTTGATGTTGCATGGTGTGGGTTTTTAACATTAACATGATGGATACCAGTAACCAGACGTGACGCTGTGGTTCAGAACATTAACGTTTGCTCTTTTCCTTCCAACAACAGGATATCACTGGGACACATCTGATTGGATGCCAAGTGTTCAACTTCCTGGAATCCAGGAGTTTCCACAGTATGAGGTTGTGGAGTCGCCCGCCCCTCTGTACAGTGACCCGAGTGCCATCGACACCGACTACTACCCCGGCGGCTTCGACATTGAGAGCGATTTCCCTCCGCCGCCAGAGGATTTCCCTGCCAATGACGACCTGCCGCCGCCACCTCTGCCAGAGTTCGCCGACCGCTGCGACACACTGCGGCCCCAGGGCAGAGACCTGGACCCGTCTGCGACCGACACAGGAGGCTCAGGCGGGGTCCGCCAGCGCCCGGCCCTGCCTCATCTCTACAGCCTTAACCAGTACCTACCGCAGCACTCCTACCCAAGCGACGGGGGTGACACTGAGGGCCAAGGGGCCACCTCCACCTCCGCCAACACCACCCCTGCTTCTACCTTGGGCACCAGTGGCTACAGAGGGGGCTACGGTTGTAGTCTGGACTTTGACTCCTCAGCTCTGGACAACATGTCCATGTCTCTGTACACGTCCACAGCCTCTTGCTCGGACATGTCGGCGTGCTGCGAGGAGTCCGAGGTGATGATAAGCGACTACGAGAGTGGCGACGAGGGCCACTTTGAGCGGCTGTCCATCCCGGCGCTGGACTCCCAGCAGCACACTGAAGTCTGACACTGGATCCAAACAAAAGTGCCTGAACCCACAGCTACACCTTACGTTAGCCCGTCACACAACACCCACACCAAACGCGCACAGTATGTGAACACGACACCACACACACACACATACATGTCCGCACACATTGAATTGAGTCAAACACGGGGGTTGTTGAGACTGGCTGAGAGACAGTCGGCTGAGAAAACCTGAAGAAGAAGCTCTTTGCGTGTTCTCAGCCCGAACCCCCGCCCCCTTTGAGTCTGGCGGTGCTGTTACTTGTGACTGTCATCTCACACAGGAAGTAGATTGTCTGAAGGATCAACGATTCAACGCACGACAGGAAAAACATCATGGAAAGAAAAAAAATAAATAATAATCTCACCACAACATCTGTGTTTCTATAAATAAAACCAAGCAAACTGTTTTTATACAAGTCCTCATTTTCAATGTAAATTTAAATGTACAGTTTTGATTTCAAAGTTTACTAGGTTTTGTAGATATTCTATGCTTTTATTTTCAAAAAAGACGAAGAGTTAAATGGTGTGACATTATCAGCCTTACTGTGCTTACATTCACTAGAGAAAAAAAAAAAAAGAAACGTTAAAAAAAGAGAGAGAAGAGCGTGGCTTTCCCGCACACAGTGTACTCGTAAAGTTTATCGTCTCCTGCTCATTTCAAAAAGGGTCCTCAGTGAACGACTGCATATTCTTGTGTTGTTGGTTTTTCTTTTTTAAATGTTTGTTTGTAAATTTTGACTTTGGAACCTCTTTATTTTTCCACCAAGAAAATGGGACCCAATATATTTATAGTGCAGAGTTATCCATGGACACGTGACTTTTTCAGGTGTCCATGTGTGTGTGAGCAGTGCTATGGTCTTGTTAAGGTTTTTATTGAATACTGCCACAAGCTCACGCTTTCCTACTGGCAATAAATTATTCCTAAAAAATATTTCTGCTGTCTTCTTATTTCCAGAGCGTGCTCATGAATAGAAACACGGTGATGTATTAATTGTAATATTCTGGTGTTACTTGTGCAGAAAATAATTAAATCTTAACAATGAAAGTCACAAATCTTATTACAAACTTTTTGTCAATCAACTTTGATCTGGGTCCGACTTGTATAATTGTAAGGAAACATTTTGACAATATGTTTGTTTTTGTTAATTGTGATGGGTATGAACATCAAAACTATACAGCAATTAATAAAAGATTTTTATGTTTAATAGACCAAACGATTAATTGACTATTTGAGAACATGCAGACTGATTGAAAGGTGCTTCAGTAAAATGCAGATGACAACAGTAGAGTGTGTAACTGTACCAGTTCAAACTGGGAGGGCACTAAATAGAGCGCGTACTCCACAGCAGTTCCCAAATTTCACACGCTCATAAGTTCCGTAAATAAACTTTTTCTTTTTCAAGATCAACGTATTTTTCCCTGGGACATCGGTGAATATTTAAAAAAACAAATCTCAATGTTAAGGAAAGTGAAAACAGAATTCCTGGAGCCGCCTCTTTGCACCAAAACTGAATGGGTTCTTTTTTGGCCTAAGTAAATCCGTTGAGTAGTTTTTGCATGATCAGGTGAAAACATAACATCCCTGGCAGATGAAATCATGAACTCTCCATCGCGTCTTGTTTGACACGTCTGTGAAATCTGACAGTTTCACGTCACCTCCCTCCTCTGACTCTGTGGCCTCTTGTATCTGTAAACTGTCGTCGTCTCACACGAGGCTGAAGAATCTAACGGGACTCTGATACCTTCAGGTTCTGGCTCAGCGCTACAGTCGCTGTGTGGTTTCTAACCGTGTGGTCTGCACTGAGCTGACCCGGTCACGGTTCCACGCGGTTCTTCCTCACGGGCTCTGGTGTGGAAGAACGACCTTTTGACCTCCAGTCAGGATATTTATTAACATTTCCTTTAACACACACCCCAACAATGAATTATAATGTGACGGACTGTCTAATGTCCGACAGAGCTGCAGAGTGCGTCCATGCTGAGGTTGATAAAAATCTAATTTTGTCATTTAGGAAAAGTTTGTGTGATTGATTCATTTGCTGATGCCCAATTAACCAATCATTAATTTGCAAAAAAAAGCTGTTGGGTTGCCAGGTTGTGGCAAAGCTGCATCTTAACTCTTGAGTGAGATCTTTAATGATGTGAGGATTTTAAATGTGATTATACTGCAGTCACATTAGTGACAGTGGAAAGTTTATAAGTTTATAACTGAACACACAAAGTAGTTAAATAGAGAGCTGGTAACTTTTCCTCCTTTTGGCTCTTAATTCGTTTGGTTAAAATAAAACATCACTCTGCAGTTATGTGTTGCTAATGACGGATCACAGATTCCTTAGATCCTACTGATGTTTAAAGGGTGGCACAGTGGTGCAGTGGTTTGTACTGTCTCCTCACAGCAAGAGGGATTCTAACCTGACAACGCACCAGGAACACCGACTAATCAATTATGTGTGCGTGTGTGTGTGTTGATGGTCTCACGTCCACCTGCAGCAGGGGCGTGATGAGCACAGCTGACTCCAGTTAGTGAATCACTTCCTGTTTAAATGTGGCGGAGAGGGTGGGTCCCGTGCAGCAGAGAGGCCGGTGGTGCAGAGAGGAGTTAGTGACAGAATGGTGGTGGTGAGCTCCTGGTGTCTGGCACGAGTGTCGGCCTGTGACGGAGCGGCGATCTGTCCAGGGTGTGACTCACCTCTTACCCAAAGTCCGCTGGGATCGGCCCCAGCCCCCCCAACGTCCCTCAAAGGGTAAACGTTGTAGAAGTGACTGAACTGACTTTTTATAGAGAGAGAAACTTAACTTCCTTTATTAGTAGATTTCTCAAATTATAATAACATATCAACATCTAAATTCATTCTGTTCGTATATTTCATATTTACGAATCACAATTTACGTCACTGGGATAATAAAAGGGTCATTTTCTCACCTGACTTGCTGCTGAAAACAGAATTGGAATTCTTCCTCGTGTCCTCGTCCCAAACTGCAGATGAAAACATTCTTTGCTTTTCAAACCGACCTCGACACATTTTTCTCCCTCTTGCAAAAACCCATTAGTCTCAGAGCAGGATGGATGATTCCTCTTCAGCCGGGGTGCAGAGTAGAGAGGAGCATTTTCAGACACGGAGCTCCAGGTTCAAACAGCTGCTCTGTGTTTGAGTCACAATGTGGAGGAAGGTTTTTTTCGACTGCAGCAGTGGAGTGTGATGGAAGCAGCTCTGAGTGCAGCCTCTCGTCTGCTGCTTCACGCTCCATGGATCCAATTAACCGTGGAAATGGAAGCAGGTGTTTTTCCATTAAATAAATGAAGACTCTCTTACTTATTAATGAATTATTCATTGGATGGAATCAGGGGCGCAGTTGTGTGGGAGAGGAGGTTGTTCTGCGTCGAGGGCCATTGTGATTAGCATCCAGGGTGTAGGACAAGACGACGGCCACAAGATGGCAGCATGTGGCAGCTGATGAGAGCGGAGGGAGAGGAGGATGAACACAGAGGAAAGAAGAGCGTCCTAATTGCCCCCTTCTGGCTGCAGCACGAGACATAAACTCCACCTCCTCCATGTTGGGGGATGGGACATGGACCAAGTCAAAAGGTCAAAATACACATCACATGGTTATTTAGAGATGGTTTCTATCTTATCACGCTGCCTTCATCTTTTTGCAGTTTGGTTTTAATTTGATCCTATAAAACAGAAGTGTCATGATTGACAGCTGAGACTGACTCATGATTGGACAGGCATGTGTATCGGCATATAAAATGTTTGTACAACTGGAAGTAGTGGAGACACGTCATCTTTCTTTACACACAGTCTATTGTTATAATACACATTTCCTCTTTAATCTTCAAAGCTAAATAGCCTCATCGTGAGATAAAGATGCTCCATATATCGTATGTACATATGCAAATGACAACAGTTCACACAAAGAGCATGAAACAGTCGGTGTAATCCAGAGCTCCTCAGTGAGATTAGTTTTTCATCAAACTGTGATTTGCTGTTTGCACAAAAACCGTTCAGGATTTCAAGACTCGGTTCCTGTGACAATGTGCAAATATGAAATAGCTCAAATTCAGAGTCAAATCAAACACAAGTGTCTGAGAGAAATGCAAAGAGGGGAAGACGGTGATAGACCGGAGGCTCACACGTTGTTTAAACACGTCTACTACACTCGACTGAATGTCTACAACAAAAAAAAAAAACGACCTTGCGGTCAGAAGCCGTCAGCCGCTCAGACCCAGAAATGTCTCGTCCACTGTCTCAGAGTCGTTATTAACATCGACCCACCTTCAGCCGTCGGCTCCAAACTCCTCCACAGACAGAAACACTGAGCTGCTGCTGCAACACGAAGACACTTGAGGTCACAACGGAACCAGCCAGTGCAGAAATCAGACCAAGATGCTGATCTGACCTTAGACGCCATGATCCCGAGCTTCAGTTTGGAGAAATGTCAGGAAACCAAGAGGCTTTCCTTGAATATTTACCTCCACCAAGAAGGTTCTGTTTCCCCACTGTCTGTCTCTGTCTGTCTCTGTCTGTCTGTCTCTGTCTCTATCTGTCTGTCTCTGTCTGTCTCTGTCTCTGTCTGTCTGTCTGTCTGTCTGTCTCTGTCTGTCTGTCTCTATCTGTCTGTCTCTGTCTCTATCTCTATCTCTATCTCTATCTCTATCTGTCTGTCTGTCTCTGTCTCTGTCTCTATCTCTATCTCTATCTGTCTGTCTGTCTCTGTCTCTGTCTCTATCTCTATCTCTATCTGTCTGTCTGTCTCTGTCTGTCTCTGTCTGTCTCTGTCTCTGTCTCTGTCTCTGTCTCTGTCTGTCTGCAGGGACGGATCAGATTTCTTTAACATTGTGAGATTTCCCAGAGAAATAATCTGCTTATAGTTTGTGGGGGAAACACAGCCGGTCTGTCGAGTGGAAAGCGTCTGTCACATGTTGGGTCGGAAACTTGTGGGGAAGCAGCAAAAGTAATCTCACAAAATAAAGTTCACACAGCCAGAAAGATTTTAACACACCTCCACCAGGAGGAAAGAAACTCTTCACATGCTTTGTTTTATGGATTTGAAAAAACGTCCTTGTTGAATACGAAAAAATTACTTTGGAAAAGTTTGGCAACTTTTAAAAATGCCTCCAACCATGTGACCAATCTCACAGCTTTGTTAAGAGCAGATAACGTTGTCGCTGTAAATTCACTATGTTGATTAAATTAAATAACTTAGGATTAAATACAGTTTCTCTCATTTAATGAGAAATGAATATAAAAGAGATATTTTATTAAATGTCTGTGGCCTAATTGTATAAACACACCATCTGATCAAGGCTCAGAGGCACAGAGGAAACTCACTGTCAAACCACATACATCCATTCATGACTTATACAACCTGACGACCACAAGATGGCTGCAGACGGCAGCTGATGAAATCCAAGGGAGAGCAGGAGGGAGAGTGGAACGACCCGGAGAGAGACAACCACTTTCATCAAATGATTAAACTCAGTGAATCCTTCTGGCTGGATGAAGTAACACAAATCAGACACATCAGCCACAGAGATTACACAAACTCTGCATGATTTCCCCAACACAGCTCTGCCCCGCAGTCACAGCAGCCTCCCTTTAACGCTTCATGACAAATAGCAAGAAAAATAATGTGTTCAATAAATGTGTGCAAATCATGCAGTAGAAGAGAGAGTTGAGAATAGTCGGTGTAAATCCAGCGCTTTTGACAGGAAGATTAGTTTTTCATCAGTCGTGCCTCAAGCTGTGATTTGTTGTTTGCACATACCAGCGTCTTGAAAACACTGAAACTGAGGCAGTGAGTTCAGTCAGGCGACACATTCCAACACAAGCACATAAATAATGAAGACAGAACCAAATGAATACGTTTGATTTTATCATTTACACTTAAAATGAATCTCTGGAGGAGCCTTCAGCAAGAGCTGAGACGTGTGTAAAACAAGAGAAGACACACACACACACACACACACACACACTGTTCTGTTAGCGGTCAGCAAGAAATTAACACTTTGGTTTAACTCTGCGGGGGGGCCGGGGGGGCGGGGTTGATGAATTAAATAAACAACAACATTTAAAAAAAAAAAAGTGTCTGGGCCTCGTTCACGTCAGATAATCACTTCCTGTATTGGAATGTGTTTGTGCTTAAGTTTGTGTGTGTGCATTTGCATGAGAGGGACACACACACACACACACACACACACACA